CACCAGCAGCCTTCGAAAATGTCGACAGCTTCGCAGATCGCAGCCCCCCAGGCACGGCGAGGTCTTGCTCAGATCCGCGCAGTGCCTCACTCCGCTGGACCCACCAGCAGCCTTCGAAAGTGGCGACAGTTTCGCACATCGCAGCCCCCCCCCCGGGGCGAGGTCTTGCTCAGATCCGCGCAGTGCCTCACTCCGCCGGACCCACCAGCAGCCCTCGAAAGTGGCGACCGCCTCGCAGATCGCAGCCCCCCAGGCACGGCGAGGTCCTTGCTCAGATCCGCGCGGCTCCGCTGGACCCACCAGCAGCCCTCGAAAGTGGCGACAGTTTCGCAGATCGCAGCCCCCCAGGCACGGCCCTGCCTTGCTCAGATCCGCGCGGTGCCTCACTCCGCTGGACCCGCTACCAGCCGCCGAAGGTAGCGACAGTTTCGCAGATCGCAGCCCCTCAGGCACGGCGAGGTCTTGCTCAGATCCGCGCAGCGCCTCACTCCGCTGGACCCACCAGCAGCCCTCAAAAGTGGCGACAGTTTCGCAGATCGCAGCCTCCCAGGCACGGCGCGGCCTTGCCCAGATCCGCGCGGTGCCTCACTCCGCTGGACCCACCAGCAGCCCTCGAAAGTGGCGACCGCTTCGCAGATCGCAGCTTCCCAGGCACGGCGCGGTCTTGCTCAGATCCGCGCAGCGCCTCACTCCGCTGGACCCACCAGCAGCCCGCGAAAGTGGCGACAGCTTCGCAGATCGCAGCCCCCCCCCAGGCACGGCGAGGTCTTGCTCAGATCCGCACGGTGCCTCACTCCGCTGGACCCACCAGCAGCCTTCGAAAGAGGCAACAGTTTCACAGATCGCAGCCCCCCCCAGGGATGGCTGGGTCTTGCTCAGATCCGCGCGGTGCCTCACTCCGCTGGACCCACCAGCAGCCTTCGAAAGTGGCGACAGCTTGGCAGATCGCAGCCCCCCAGGCACGGCGAGGTCTTGCTCAGATTCGCGCGGTGCTTCACTCCGCTGGACCCACCAGCAGCCCTCGAAAGTGGCGACCGCTTCGCAGATCGCAGCCCCCCCAGGCACGGCGAGGTCTTGCTCAGATCCGCGCGGCGCCTCACTCCGCTGGACCCACCAGCAGCCTTCGAAAGTGGCGACCGCTTGGCAGATCGCAGCCCCCCAGGCACGGCGAGGTCTTGCTCAGATCCGCGCAGTGCCTCACTCTGCTGGACCCACCAGCAGGCCTTGAAAGTGGCGACAGCTTGGCAGATCGCAGCTTCCCAGGCACGGAGGTTGGGAATAATGTTGATTGCCCTGGCGACGTACCCAACCCTGCGCAATGCGGGGCATGAGTAGCTTGGGAGACGTTATACGGATGTGATGACGTGACATGGGTTCATATATTTCTGCGAGCGGCATTCGTGAGGCTCGCAGCTCTTCAAGGATTGCGAGGTCCCGCTCAGATCTGCGCGGTGCCTCACTCCGCTGGACCCGCTACCAGCCGTCGAAGGTAGCGACAGTTTCGCAGATCGCAGCCCCTCAGGCACGGCGAGGTCTTGCTCAGATCCGCGCGGTTCTTCACTCCGCTGGACCCACCAGCAGCCCTCAAAAGTGGCGACAGTTTCGCAGATCGCAGCCCCCCAGGCACGGCGCGGTCTTGCTCAGATCCGCGCGGTGCCTCACTCCGCTGGACCCACCAGCAGCCTTCGAAAGTGGCGACCGCTTCGCAGATCGCAGCCCCCCAGGCACGGCGAGGTCTTGTTCAGATCCGCGCGGTGCCTCACTCCGCTGGACCCACCAGCAGCCCTCGAAAGTGGCGACAGGTTCGCAGATCGCAGCCCCCCCCCGGCACGGCGCGGTCTTGCTCAGATCCGCGCAGCGCCTCACTCCGCTGGACCCACCAGCAGCCCGCGAAAGTGGCGACAGCTTCGCAGATCGCAGCCCCCCCCCAGGCACGGCGAGGTCTTGCTCAGATCCGCACGGTGCCTCACTCCGCTGGACCCACCAGCAGCCTTCGAAAGAGGCAACAGTTTCACAGATCGCAGCCCCCCCAGGGATGGCTGGGTCTTGCTCAGATCCGCGCGGTGCCTCACTCCGCTGGACCCACCAGCAGCCTTCGAAAGTGGCGACAGTTTCGCAGATCGTTGCCCCCCAGGCACGGCGAGGTCTTGCTCAGATTCGCGCGGTGCTTCACTCCGCTGGACCCACCAGCAGCCCTCGAAAGTGGCGACCGCTTCGCAGATCGCAGCCCCCCCAGGCACGGCGAGGTCTTGCTCAGATCCGCGCGGCGCCTCACTCCGCTGGACCCACCAGCAGCCTTCGAAAGTGGCGACCGCTTCGCAGATCGCAGCCCCCCAGGCACGGCGAGGTCTTGCTCAGATCCGCGCAGTGCCTCACTCTGCTGGACCCACCAGCAGGCCCTGAAAGTGGCGACAGCTTGGCAGATCGCAGCTTCCCAGGCACGGAGGTTGGGAATAATGTTGATTGCCCTGGCGACGTACCCAACCCTGCGCAATGCGGGGCATGAGTAGCTTGGGAGACGTTATACGGATGTGATGACGTGACATGGGTTCATATATTTCTGCGAGCGGCATTCGTGAGGCTCGCAGCTCTTCAAGGATTGCGTGGTCCCGCTCAGATCTGCGCGGTGCCTCACTCCGCTGGACCCGCTACCAGCCGTCGAAGGTAGCGACAGTTTCGCAGATCGCAGCCCCTCAGGCACGGCGAGGTTTTGCTCAGATCCGCGCGGTTCTTCACTCCGCTGGACCCACCAGCAGCCCTCAAAAGTGGCGACAGTTTCGCAGATCGCAGCCCCCCAGGCACGGCGCGGCCTTGCTCAGATCCGCGCGGTGCCTCACTCCGCTGGACCCACCAGCAGCCCTCGAAAGTGGCGACCGCTTCGCAGATCGCAGCCCCCCAGGCACGGCGAGGTCTTGCTCAGATCCGCGCAGTGCCTCACTCTGCTGGACCCACCAGCAGGCCTCGAAAGTGGCGACAGTTTCGCAGGTCGCAGCCCCCCAGGGATGGCGAGGTCTAATTTGGGTCCGCGCGTGGCGTCAATGTGCTGGGCCCCCATCAGGCCGCGAAAGTGGCGATAGTTTCACAGATCGCTGCCCCCCCCAGGGATGGCGAGATCTAATTTGATTCTGCGCGTGGCGTCACTGTGCTGGGCCCCCCAGCAGACCTCGAAAGTGGCGACAGTTTCGCAGATCGCAGCCCCCCAGGGATGGCGAGGTGCGATTTGGGTCCGCGCGTGGCGTCTCTGTGCTGGGCCCCCAGCAGGCCTCGAATGTGGCGACAGTTTCACCGATCGCAGCCCCCCAAGGATGGCGAAGTTTAATTTGGGTCCGCGCGTGGCGTCACTGTGCTGGGCCCCACAGCAGGCATCGAATGCGGCGGAAGTTTCGCAGATCGACAGACCCCCAAGGATGGAGAGGTCCAGTTTGGATCCGCGCGTGGCGTCGCTGCGCTGGGCCCCCCGGCAGGCTTTGAAAGTGGCGACGGTTTCACAGATCGCAGCCCCCCAGGGGCGGCGAGGTTTAATTTGGGTCCGCGCGCGGCGTCAATGTGCTGGGCCCCCCCCCCTAGCAGGCCTCGAACGTGGCGACAGTTTCACAGATTGCAGCCCCCCCAGGGATGACGAGGTCGAATTTAGGTCCGCGCGTGGCGTCACTGCGCTTGGCCCCCAAGCAGGCTTCGAAAGTGGCGAAAGTTCGCAGATCGCAGTCCCCCGCAGGCAAGACAGGAGGGGGCAAGAGGGAGGCGGGGAGGGAAGAAGGGAATGGAGACCACACTGCTCTATTCAAAACGAATACCCAACCAAGGAGGGTTTGGCTTTTTGCTGCAGTCCCTGAGCAACCCTAGCCACTTCGAAAGCGGTGATCTCAGATCGCAGCCCCCCAGGGATGGCGAGGTCGAATTTGGGTCGGCGCGTGGCGTCACTGCGCTGGGCCCCCCAGCAGGCTTCGAAAGTGGCGACAGTTTCGCAGATCGAATTCCTCCCCAGGGATGGCGAGGTCTAATGTGGGTCCGCGCGGGGCGTCACTGTGCTGGGCCCCCCAGCAGGCCTCGAAAGTGGCGATAGTTTCACAGATCGAAAGCGCCCCAGGGATGGCGTCGCTGCGCTGGGCCCCCAGCAAGCTTCGAACGTGGCGACAGTTTCGCAGATCGCAGCCCCCCCCCCAAGGATGGCGAGGTCTGATTTGGGTCCGCGCGTGGCGCCACTGTGCTGGGCCCCCCAGCAGGCCTCGAAAGTGGCGACAGTTTGGCAGATCGCAGCCCCCCCAGGGATGGCGAGGTCTAAGTTGACACCGCCCGTGGCGTCACTGTGCTGGGCCCCCCAGCAGGCCCCGAAAGTGCGACAGTTTCACAGATCGCAGCCTCCCAGGGACGGCGAGGTATAATTTGAATTTGCGTGTGGCGTCACTGTGCTGGGCCCCCCAGCAGGCCTTGAAAGTGGCGACAGCTTTGCAGCCCGCAGCCCCCCCAGGGATGGCGAGGTCTAATTTGAATCTGCGTGTGGCGTCACTGTGCCAGGCCCCCCAGCAGGTCTCAAAAGTTGCGACGGTTTCACCGATCGCAGCCCCCCTAGGGATGGCGAGGTCTAATTTGAATCTGCGTGTGGTGTCACTGTGCTGGCTCAAGCGCTCAAGCATTGCCACTCTAGCATTACCCTAATTCTTTCCACCGCGCCACCTTTCCCGTTCCCTTTCCCGTATCTCGCGATGGCCGGCGCGCGGGCGCCAGGGACCCCAGTTCGGGAAGTGCTCGATCGAGGTGTCCGCCAACGCTTGTTCAGCCCGCCCCACGAGATGGACGATCTCGACATCTTCTCCTCCCCTCCCTGACCGGAGGTGCACGTGATGACAACTCCTACGACGCCACCGGAGGCGCATCAGCAAGCAGAGGAGATTCCACAACAGCAGCATGGAGCAGCACCTGCGGCTCAGTACCAGCAGGCCCCGACCTTGCAGCAGATTGCCGATTTGCTGAAGCGCGAGGTTCATCCTTTCTGGAACGCGATGTCCGGGCTCGAGCGCAAGGCGGGCGAGCTGGGCGACGCGTTCGACTCCAGGACGCAGGCAACAGTGAAGCGCCTGAAGAGCCTCGAGATCCGCATGGCGACCTACGAGAGCCGAACACCGGAGGGCTCGTACGCCAGCTCCTGGGCCGATGAGGAAGCACGGCAGCAACAGCGAGTTCTGGAGGAGCAGATTTCGATGACGAAGACGGCAGGAGTTCTCAATAACAACGCGAATGAGGAGTCTAAGAACGATTCGGCAGTGATCGGTGGGCTCCAGACGGTCGGGAGCATCGAGAGGGCGAAGGCCTCTATTGAGAACAAGCTCTGGGAATGGTACAAGCCTCAGCCGACCGACATCTACTCTAAAGGGGAGTTCTGGGGCATCGTGCTTGCCAGGTTCGCAAGCGCCGCAGACCGTGACGAAGCCGTTTAGGCGTTCCGCAAGGCCCCGATCAAGGAAGGTGGCAACTCCGCGTGGGCGAAAGCGGACCAGGGGGTCCACGAACGCATCGTCACCTCTTTTGTCTTCGGGGCCAAACACGTTTCGAAAGATTGGGGCTTCACTTCGAACAGCGTTTGGGCAGGCCCTGGGGCCGGCGACGTCTGGGTTGGGGATGGCGCGGCGGTGGAGGTGACGACCGACGAGGGGGGGCTCAATGTCAAATATGGGCCGGGATGGGAGGAGTGGCTCACGAGTGCGGACTTCCCGGAATTCACAGACTTGGCGAAGAAGCTGGCGGAGAAATTGAAGCGCATTCCCGCCAAAGGCACCGGGAAGGGGAAGTTCAAGGGCAAAGACTTTGGAAAAGAAGGCCGCTCGTGGGGCCAGCGGGGCGCGAGCAGGGATGTTTCACCAGGAAGCGATGGCATTTACCAGCAGCACTCGCTTGATTGCCGAGATCTTCTACTTCATACCCAGCTTCCAACAGTTCAGGGGCGACGGAATGGCGAAGCCACATTGCCATTGCATGTCATGCGAGGTCGCTGTTTGCGACCTGTGCGAAACGAAGAATTCACGATAGCTTCCTGGAACATGGAAGGATACACAGAAGCCAAACAAGTACACCTAGAAGTCACGACGCAGCGCTGCGGCATCAATGTCTTGTGCATCCAAGAAACTTCGAGGCCAAAGTCAGATACGTTCGCGAGTGAGACCGGGTACCTCGTCGCGCTGTCTGGCGGCGCTGGCGGGGCGGAAGGGGAAGGGGGGGCAGGGGTGGGATTCATCATTGACCCCGCCTTCAGACAGTCACTTGTTGGATTTTGCCAGTTCTCTGATCGAATGTCCTCGCTGAAATTGCGCGCGTCTGGGGGCAAGGCTGAGATTTTCTCGGCTTACGCTCCGCGCAGTGGGTCTGAATATCCAGAGCGGCAAGGGTTTTACCATGATATTGGGGAATTTGTTCAGACTCAATCTTCGCATGGTCCGAAGTTGATCCTGGGGGACTTCAGTGCCAGCTTGCATGATCGATTCGACGACGACGCTGGGATCATCGGCCAACACGTGTTCCAGCACCCTGGACAAGTCGTTCGCGCTGACGCGAATCGGCACCCATTGGTGGAGATGTGCAAACAGCTGAAAATGCGTCTGTCCAACGCGTTCTTCTCCGCTCAACAACAGGACTTGGCCACGAACTACAACGTGGGGTGCCCTGTCGGCGAACCAGTTGGCCGGCGTAGGCACCCCCAGATAGATTTTATTCTGCGCGCCCAGAAGTGGCTGCATGACGTGCTCAATGTGACCGTGCGTCGGGACATGCCACTCTCATCTCACCATTTCTTGCTTCAGGCACGAGTCCACGCGAAGGTGGAGAAGACGCGCGCGGATACGGACGGCGCCAAGGCAGACGCGTCGCAGCTGGCCGACATCAAGACCTGGCAGCGATTCACGGACAAGCTTGCTAACGTGCTCGAGGCTTTCGCCGACGGGGCGCCTGACCGCGACGACGTGAACCTAGCCTGGCGCCAGCTCGTAGACGGTTTCCACAACGCCTCGGAGCAGGTTTTGCCCCGGCAGACGCCACGCCCAAAGAAGCCTTTGACGCGCCCTTCAACCTCGCGGCTGATAGACCGCCGCGTGGCGGCTCGACAGACAGGAGACATAGCTGAAGAGAAGAAGCTAGCGGAGCACATCAAAAAGGCTGTTGCTGCCGACCGGGCCGCCTGGCTGCAGGAGCTAACGGCGAACGGGAACTGGGGCGAGATCAGAAAGCTCCGGAAAAAGGGTTTTGCCCGCTACAGGGGGGACTCAATAATGAGGTGGGCCTGGTCGTGGATAGCGACAGCCGGGCTGACACTTTGGCGGCGCATCTCGAGCGGGCGCAGTGGGCAGCGCGGCCGACGACGGCGATGCCAACTGATAATCTGCACGGCGGCGAGCTGCCGATCGTCCTCGACCCGATAACGCAGGAAGAAGTCAGGAAAGCATCGGGCGAACTAAAGCAAGGCAGAGCAGGAGGCTTGGGCAACTTACCCCCAGAGTTCTGGAGAGCGGCCTCCGGAGAAGGCACCCCGACGCTCGAGTGGATCATTCGTTTCTGCAACGTGATTTTGGAGACGGGGCGCGTCCTTGATGCATGGCACAAGGCAAAGGTGAAGATGATCTACAAGAAGGGGGACCCCGCGGACAGCAACAACTATCGCCCGATATGCCTTCTCCCGATAGGGTACAAGATGTTCGCGCTCGTCCTGCTGCAGAGGATGAAGGACGCCGGTGCCGAACAACGTATTTGGGAGACACAGTTCGGCGCTGGTTTGGGCAAAGGCCTTCGATTATGCGTCGCCTCAGGCGCTGGCCATGTCGTTTCGAAGATTTGGATGCCCTAGTCGTTTTGTAAACATGGTTGCTGCTATCAACGAGAAACGCGTTTTCGAGGTCACCGACTTCGGCGCAACGTCGCAAGAGAGAAAGCAAGAGCACGGAATTTGCCAAGGATGCCCATTGTCACCGTCCCTATTTACAGTTGTTATGACTACGCTTCTACACGATGCTCACAGAGAGCTTCGCCAAAGACGACGCCAACCTGTTCCGGAAGAGTTGGTCCGAGATCCCGTCTACGCGGATGACGCGCTGTTGCTCGGCGCCAGCGCAGAGGCTGTGCAGGGGCCGATAACGCACGTGGAGATGTTCGGGGCAAACTATGGTTTGCAATTTAACTGGAAGAAGGTGAAGCTGATGACGGGGCGCCCAAACGACGGCATCTCGGACAACGCTGGCGCTCCTCTCGCCAATGAGCATTCCATCGTCCTCTTGGGCACGTCGATCTCTGCCGACGGAAGATGCGCGTCGGAATTGCCCCGCAGAATCGGAGCAGATATGCAAGACTTCAGAGTGCTACACACGATTTGGTCTCACGCTTCGTTGACGAGGAATCGTGAGATCCACATCTTCAACGCGTGCGTTGTGTCCAAATTAATATACGCCCTCTTCACGGCGTGTCTAAACCAGGCCGAACGTCGACGTTTGGGCGGCTTCTAAACTCGCTGCATCAGAAAGGTTTGCAGAGTGCCTCCGGCATGCATCAGTAGAGTGTCGAACGCCACCATGCTTGGGATCGCTGGCCAGACGAAGCTCAGCGACGACCTCGCGAGACGGCAGATGATATTCATGGGCAAATTCGCGCACCGATCCGGCCAAGACCCTGTGCGACGCTCGGTGTTTGAACTGGGCACCCTGGTGCTGCGCAGGGTCGCCGGCCCGAGAAAGCTGGCCAGACCGAGGCAGACATGGGGCCATCTAGTTTGGAATAATTGTCTCAAATCTGCCGGCTCCCGCGAGCGACTCGCTGCCTACTTCCACCAAGACGGTGGTGCAGCTCGAGTTCGAGCGTGGGGGCGCGCGGTGAAGGCTTGGGCCGGAAGCCGAAGGCATTCTGGCTGCATTTGGTGATTCTTTCCTATACGTTTCACCCCTGCTCACGCGCCGTCTTGTGCAAGGCGTGCTTGACTTGACTTGTGGCGTCACTGCGCTGGGCCCCCCAGCAGGCCTCGAAAGGGGCGACAGTTTAACATATCGCAGCCCCCAGGGATGGCGAGGTCTAATTTGAATCTGCGTGTGGCGTCACTGTGCTGGGCCCCCCAGCAGGCCTCGAAAGTGGCGACAGTTTCACAGAACGCAGCCCCCCAGGGATGGCGAGGTCTAGTTTGAATCTGCGTGTGGCGTCACTGCGCTGGGCCCCCCAGCAGGCCTCGAGAGTGGCGACAGTTTCACAGATCGCAGCCCCCCCAGGGACGGCGAGGTCTAATTTGAATCTGCGTGTGGCGTCACTGTGCTGGGCCCCCCAGCAGGCCTCGAAAGTGGCGACAGTTTAACTGATCGCAGCCCCCCAGGGATGGCGAGGTCTAATTTGAATTTGCGTGTGGCGTCACTGTGCTGGGCCCCCCAGCAGGCCTCGAGAGTGGCGACAGTTTAACTGATCGCGGCCCCCCCAGGGATGGCGAGGTCTAATTTGAATTTGCGTGTGGCGTCACTGCGCTGGGCCCCCCAGCAGGCCTCGAAAGTGGCGACAGTTTCAGAGATCGCAGCCCCCCAGGGATGGCTGGGTCGAATTTGAATCTGCGTGTGGCGTCACTGTGTTGGGCCCCCCAGCAGGCCTCGAAAGTGGCGATAGTTTCACAGATCGCAGTCCCCCGCAGGCAACACAGGAGGAGGCAAGAGAGAGGCAGGAAGGAAGGAAGGAGGGAGTGGAGACCACACTGCTTTATTCAAAACGAATACCCAACCAAGGAGGGTTGGGAACTAAAAGAGAACCCGGGGCCCACGCCCTTTCCACAAAAAAATTGCCGTTCTCCATCCGCGAAGCCCTTGCAGTTTTGTTCAACGGATGCACGGGGCGCTAGGCGAGAGCCACATTTTGATATCGGGCCGTCCTCCGTCCGTGAAGCATTTGCGAAGTTATAATGCAACGAATGTGTGCTGCGCGATGGCGAGAAGGGCAATTTGAAAACGGCCCGCCCTCCATCCGCGAAGCCTCTGCAGTTTTTAAGACGAATGTGCGGTGCGTTAGGGCAGAACCACATTTTGAAAGTGACCCGTTCCGATTCCTGAAACTGTTGCAAAGTCTACGCTTCAGAATCGTACATAGTGAGGTCGTCTCAGGCGAAATGCCCGGCCCAACCTTTGACCGGCCTCGGGGTGCGACAGGGAGCTAGTTATCTATAAGGAGGAAGGATGGAGAATGCGGGGGGGAGGATGTGGGAGGGACGAGATTCGAAGAGGCAGGAGCACGATGAGACAGGACGGGGGAGAGTAGTAGGATATACGTATATATATATATATATATATACATACACACACTCATAATACTAAACCTAAGAATAATACTACGAATAATAGTGTTTGTAGTTTCGAAACAATGCGATTTACTCACAAGAGAACTTCACTCACACGAGCGCACACAAGTGTCCCTACGTGCATGTCCATCCTTGGGACACGGATGTCTCCGCTAAAGAACTCTGCGGCGAGCTCCCCGGAAACGAGCCAACATCTGTGCACCCTGACGCTCACTGGGTGGGGGAGGAGGGGGAGTTCGGGGGGGGAGGGAAGGACCGTCTCTCGGCGGACGCGGCACAGGCCTGGAAGATCATGCTCTGGGCTCACTGCGCTTCGAGCTCGTCGGTCGCCGTCTGGATCCTCCGCTCGAGGTCGCCTGGCGGGGCCACTCCGTCGAGCCTGAAGTCCTTCTCTCGCTGGGAGAGGGGCATGAAAAATGTTATGGTAGCGGTCGTCATTATCTGTGACCGCTACCGTGACGCATTCGAGCCTCTATTGTTCCTGTTCTATCAGGTCTTGCAATACCAAGCGTATCGAGTTTAGTTTAGTCGAATGTGAAGGTCAATTGTGGTGTCGGTGTTATCGGCCTGTTGCGTCTGAGCGTATGCGTCGAGCTTCGCTAATTGAGAAGGATCCCGCCCCTGTGCCTGCAGTTGCTTCTTGACTGCTTGGACCCATGAGTTCCATGCGTGTGCGTGAGGGTGGGCGAGGGCCGCGAGCCTCGCCTGCTCCTGAGCATTCGTGCAAAGGTTCGCTGCCTCCGAGAAGCTCCCGGTATAATTTCTAGCCTGGACGCAACACTCGCAACTTTCGTTTACTCCAAGAGTTTCGAACACGGTTTCTTTCAGCATCCTTGATGACGTAGCAGCATTGAATCAGGAGGGAAAAAACACACAGACACAATTCATCGTCGATGTTCAAGAAAATATTCGAAAATATGGGAAGTGGGGGGGAGACAGAAACCCAGGAAATATGTGAACAGATGCAAACTCTTGGGATTTGTGTGTATTTGTTTGTGTGTTTGTGGGCCCCTTCATTGAAGGCCCGTCTGGCGACGAGAAAAACGAGGGCCGTGAGGTCGTGCTGCGACGCTCCCCTGCGGCGCCGCTTTTGGTGGCCTGCCTCCGCCCCGTCCCGCGGCCAGTCCGAGATCCGTCTGCAGATTTTGCTGGGTCCACTGAGGACGAGTATCCTCCCGCTCCTCCTCCTCCTCCTCCTCCTCCTCCTCCTCCTCCTCCTCCTCCTCCTCCTCCTCCTCCTCCTCCTCTTCCTCCTCCTCCTCCTCTCCCTAGGGTTGTAGTCAGATATGTCATCCTGCTCGCATGTGTTGTCGTACGAGCTACAGATAGCGAGGGTGCGCCGCCAGATGCCCCAAAGGGGCGAGGTCCGGGACCCCTCCCCCCTCCCCCCATTTTCCTGGTCCGTCTTCCCGGGCCCCCCCCTTTCCCAATCCGTCGTCCCAGACCTTCCCCGCTTCAAGAGGAGAGAAAGGGGGTTGGAACCCTTCCCCCCCTTTGGACTCGAAAATTGGACCCCCCCCTACCCCCTTGCCCACGCCGCCCCCTAGTTCTAGAACCCTACCCCCTGACCATACCGCCGTAATCTTAAACCTAACACCCTAACCCTCACACCCTAACCCTCATTGCCTGAGTCTAACCCTAGCCCGAACACCTTAGCCCTATCATTCGAACGCCCTTACACTATCACCCTAACACCCTAACACAAGCATCGTATCCCTGACACCCTAACCCGAAGCCTGTCGCCCTGAGCCCTAAGTCCTGATCCAAACACCCGAACCCAGTACCCGAAATCGCAAGTCGGTTTTCGTGTGCCAGAACCGTTTGGAAAACAAAGGAGGAGGAGGAGGAGGAGGAGGAGGAGGAGGAGGAGGAGGTGCAGCAGCAGCCGCGGGCGCGCTGTCTGGCCCAGGAGGCCGCGGCGCCCTCGGAAGGTAGATTGAGCGCGGGCGGCAGAAAAGGAGTCGTCGTCGTGGTGGTGGCCGTCGTCGTGGCCGTCGTCGTCGTCGTCGTCGTCGTCGTCGTGGTGGTCGTCATCGTCCTTTCCATCGCCGTCGTGGCCGTCGTCGTCGTTGTGGTGGTCGTCGTCGTCGTCGTCGTCGTGGGGTGGACTTCCATACCTCGGAGGGGAGGACAGAAACCCCAGAACTGGGAGGCGCCGAGCCTGGGGAACGCGAGCCACGGAAAGGCTGGGGCCCGGACCCACAAAAATCCATGGTCGAACCTTGGCAATGCGAGCCCTGCAAACTCTGGCGCTCGACCCAGGATCGTGGCGACGAGAATCCTCCTCGCCTGCCTCCTCCCTCCTCCCTCCTACTCCCTCCATCCTCTTCCTCCTCCGTCTTCCCGCGTCCTCTTCCTCCTCCGTCGTCTTCATCCTCCGTCAGGGAAATCGTTCCAGAGGGTTCCGAACAAACGTTCTGAGAGCGCTCCAGGACGCTCTGAGGAGGCGGCGGCGCCGCGGCGCCAGGTATCTTCTCCAGAACCGCCAGCTCGCAGAGATCCCCGATTTTGTCCCTGTCCTGTCTTCGTCTTCCCTCCCCATCCTCCAGCCCGGGCTCCCTCCCTCCCTTCTGCCCTGTGTAGAGGGTTTGCCTGAGGCCCTGTCAGTCTTCTGCCTGCGTCTGGGCTTGTCCACCGCCACAGAGTTCGAGCTGTGTCGTGTGGCCGCTTCCAGGTGCTTCAGGCCAGGAGTGGAGCCTCGCACGTGCTGCTGGATCCAGTACCCCGTCTTTCCCACAGGTGCGGGGTGCAATCGCCGAAAGAGGCTTACTCCGAGTTCCTTAAGAAGCGTGGGGGGGGGGCGTCACCCCCGCCGACAGCCTCACATCGACCCCCGTCGCGGGCAGCCACCTCGCGCCGAAGGTGCTCCGACCCCCGTCGCGGCGCGACGACGAGGCGAGGCTGACCCCCGTCGGGGGAGGCCCCCCCCCACCCTCGCTTGGCAAGAAGCCCAGCGAGCACGCGGCGAGACCGCAAAGATCGGCCCCAGGCTCCCTCCCCGCTGGCCCCCCCTCGCCCCGCCTCCGGCGCAGGAGCACTTCCCGGACGCGCCGCTCCCCGAGGCGCCGCGGGGGCCGCGTCGGCCCTCGTCTCCGCCGCCCCTCGTCCTCGCCGTCCTCGGCGCCCGTCCTCGCCCCCCAGGCCTGCGGAGGCGCAGCATTGTACAGCAGGGCCGGGCCTGAGCGGTGTTTTGGCGATTTCGTGGGCCGTTTTCGTTCCGATTTCGTTTTGCGGTAAAGGCGGATCGAAGGCAAAACGAGGGAAAGGGAAGACAAAACACGAAAACGAGGAACACCGATTAGGTTCAGCCCTGTTATGTAGTCAATGGTAAGTGCACGCGCGCAAGCCAACGATTTCGTATCGTATAGGCGCGTCAGAAATCCATGAACCCAAGCGCCAACCACAGGACAACACGGGAAGACCGCCAGAACAATCACGTGGCCAGAACGGCGCAGCGATAGCGGCTCAGCATCCGGCTAGCCTTTGGCACCATCTCCGACCCACCTTCTGGCCATTTAACTCGATACTTACCATTGAGACTTTTCAAGTTCAGCAATATGTGGTCCTGGGCCCCAGGTCCAGCCCTCCCCCCGCAGATGGGATGGGTCGCAGGATCGTTCTGAATGGCGTCATCGTAACGTAAGGTGCCCATTTCGAAAAAGCCACCGAGGTAGGCTCCATGGGTCTTCGAGAACGGGCAATGTTCCAGCCCTTTCCCAGTACGAAGTATCAAGCATGATGTCAGTAACATGGACGATTAGTAGTGGTGATGCTCAGACCTCGACCCCCCCTCCGCCCAGACTGGATGGGGGGCCAGTCGGTCCTCAATCGATCCGCGATCCATCGAACCATCCATCAATCGATCTACCGATGCATTCATCCTCCTCCATCTTCATCGATCGGGGGGGCCACCACGCCACGCCCACTGGTGGGGAGGGACCCATCGCGCGGGGGGGGAGGTGGGGAGGGCGAAGGCATCAGCATGACGAGGTGGTGGCCCAGGCCCTGGATCACATACTGAGTCTCTGAGGTTTTTGGTGCATGCTGTCGGCCTCTGGAGACGGTTTTTTAGGGCCCCCGGGGCCGTTTCGTGTGGTTATGGTTTTCTTCATTGCCGCGCCGCACCCGCGTCTCACCTCCTCCTCCTCCTCCTCTCCCTCCTCGTCATTCCTCCCTCACCCACAGCACAGCACAGCACAGTTCCCCACATGCTTCGTGGGGTTCTGATTGTTTCCTACATGTTTAGTTTCCCACATGTTTCGTGGGGTTCTGGTTTTCTTCCCTGCCGCGGCGCACCCGCGTCTCCTCACACCTCCCCTCCTCCCTCGTCTTCCTCTCCTCACCCGCGCTCAACACATGCACGGCAAGTACATGACACACGCGTCTGCATACAGCCGCACGCATGCACACATTCGCACACAACACACATACACACCATACAACGCTAGTGCGCGCCTGGCGTGTTCACTGCATCACACATCCACGACGTGTGCGCCACATAGTGGGCACCCACATGAGACACGTCCCGATATGGCCGCTATGCACGACGGTCGTCCAGGCATAGCAAGCGTGGCCCTTCTTCGACACCAGAGGGGGGGCGCTGGGGGTGGGGGCCCTATGCGTTTCAGGCTCGCAAAGCGTGGCAGGCGTGGCACTTCCTCGACACCAGAGGGGGTGCGCTGGGGGTGGGGGCCCTATGCGTTTCGGGCTCGCAAAGCGTGGCAGGCGTGGCATTTCCTCGACACCAGAGGGGGTGCGCTGGGGGTGGGGGCCCTATGCGTTTCGGGCTCGCAAAGCGTGGCAGGCGTGGCACTTCCTCGACACCAGAGGGGGTGCGCTGGGGGTGGGGGCCCTATGCGTTTCGGGCTCGCAAAGCGTGGCAGGCGTGGCACTTCCTCGACACCAGAGGGTGTGCGCTGGGGGTGGGGGCCCTATGCGTTTCGGGCTCGCAAAGCGTGACAGGCGTGGCACTTCCTCGACACCAGAGGGGGTGCGCTGGGGGTGGGGGCCCTGTGCGTTTTGGGCTCGCAAATTGTGGCAGGCGTGGCACTTCCTCGACACCAGAGGGGGTGAGCTGGGGGTGGGGGCCCTATGCGTTTCGGGCTCGCAAAGCGTGACAGGCGTGGCACTTCCTCGACACCAGAGGGGGTGCGCTGGGGGTGGGGGCCCTATTCGTTTCGGGCTGAGTGCAGAAGGATGGGTGCAGAAGCAATTGAGAGGAGGAGTTGAGAGAAGCGCGGAGGAGTTGAGAGGAGCGCGGGGGACTTGAGAGGAGTGCGGAGGAGTGGAGAGAAGTGCGGAGGAGTTGAGAGGAGTGGTTCTGGGCCCCAGGACCGCCAGGAATCGATCTGGGACGAACAACTACGTCGGGGAGACCCCGGGAGGGGTCTGGGGAGATTGATTTTAAAGCGATTCCGATCGAGGGGGTGACGACGACGACGACCACGACGACGACGACGTCGACGACGACGACGACTACGACGAAGACGACGACAACGACCACCATTCCCCACCCTCCATTCCCTCCTTCCCCTCCCTCCATTCCCTCCCTCCATTCCCTCCCCTCCCCTCCCGAGGAATGCGGAGGACTTGAGAGGAGGAGGAAGAGGAGGAGGAGGAGGAGGAGGAGGAGGAGGAGTTGAGAGGAGTGCGGAGGTGTTGAAACGAGTGTGGAGGAGTTGGGAGGAGGAGTTGAGAGAAGTGCGGAGGAGTGCAGAAGGATGAGTACAGAAGGAGGTGAGAGGATGAGTTGGGAGGAGTGCGGAGGAGTTGAGGGAAGTCCGGAGGAATTGAGAGGAGTGCGGAGGAGTCGAGAGGATTCGGTGGGACGAGGAGGAGGAGGAGGAGGACGACGCCGACGACGACGACGACGATGACCACGAGTGCGGCGACGAGTACGACGAGCACTACGAGTACAACGAGTACGACGACGACGAGTGCGACGACGAGTGCGACGCGCACGACGACGAATGCGAAGACGCGTACGATGGCGAGGTACGACGACGAGTACGATGACGAGTAAGACGATAGAACGGCAACGAGTACGACGACGAGTACGACGAGTACAACGACGAGTACGACAAGTACGACGACGATTCGCGACGAGGGTTTAGAACGCAGGATTGCGCATAGATGATAATGTCAAGCAAACACATAAGATTAAAAATCAGTATGTGGGGTTCCTCGGTAGCGTAATTTAGGGCCCCCGGGGCCGTCAGACAGACCAGCTCGGGATGAAAGGCTGGTTTGTTTGGGTTGTGGGCGAGAGGTCCAGGGCCCCGAGGCTCGGAAAATGTTGAGTCGTCGGAGGTCGTGGTTTCTCGTTCCCGTCCTCGTCCCGTCCCCGCCCCCGTTGGTCCTTGTCCTCTCAGGGTTACGTATCCAGGCCTCCCAAAAGAAGCCCGAGCAAATGGGGTCGGAGAATTGCGCCGCATCGCCGATGCACAGGCGATTCGGCTCGGGGCCCGATTTTCTGTACGCCAACGTCGCCGACGGTGATGTATCGGCGACGTGGCGCGATAAGCGGACCCCGTATATTCCGAGTTTGCTGGAGCTCGGCGTTGCTGTCGCTTTCTGGTAGTCCCAGCTTGTGAGTTGTCTGCGGCGCGAGGTCGCGTCAGACTTCAGGCTCGGTCCCGTCAATTTTCAGGCGGCCCCGTCCGGCGAGCTCGAGCCCTTCAAGCTCGTGTCTTGCGCGTCCTTGAGGCTCATCGTCAGGCCTTCCTGCGGGTGGGAAGCTGAGTACAGCAAAGACGTAGAAATGAGGACTGCTTTTGGCTCGGAAGATGCTCGGTGTTCGCTAGATCCTTCGGTGGCTGTGCCTCTAGCCCTCCTCGTGCACCTAGGCGCTGTTCGCGCTCAGAAGGGGCTTCGTTCCTCCTTTCTCGTTCCTTACCAGCGGCCCGACTGTAGATGTTGTGCCTTGGAATCACACCGGCCCGTGCGGACTGTTGCCCGGGATGCCGGACGCGGTTGCGAGTCGTCAGAAGCAGACGTCGCGGCAATCTTCGCGCCCGCATTCTCGCTGCAGCCCGACGGATGGGGGCCTGGCGAGCGTGACTCCTCGGGCCCTGCCGCCTCCTTCGCGGCCCGTGCGCCTGCCGCGCCCCCCGGGCCCCGACGCCACCTCATGGCCGCCTGATTTCACCGGCCCGCGTCGCCCCGCGAGCGCGTGCGATGGGGCGCGTCCGCAGAGACTCGTTCGTCCGAGGAGGAAAAGGTACTCTGGGCTTCTGGCGAAGCGTGGGGGGGACCCCCCCGACGGGGGTCAACCTCGCCTCGTCGTCGCGCCACGACGGGGGTCAGAGCGCCTTCGGCGTGCGGTGGCTTCCCGTGACGGGGGTCGATGTGGGGCTGCCGGCAGGTGTGACGCCCCCCCACGCTAGTTCTCGGGGTACCGATACCGGTACCGTTCCCTTGTCTTTCCCTTTTTCGGCCTCCTGGGAAGCCTTCGTCGCCGCCGCTAGATTTTGCCCAGAGAGCACCCCGAGAGAGAGGTCTGGGGAGAAGCGGTATCGGTGTCGTTTTGGTTCCCCCAGTTCGATGGCAAACCATGGGAGTTTTGAATTTGTAATACCGTTTTCCAGATTGTATTCGCGTCGATTCGCGCCTGGGAGTCGATGTGATGGCGCCCGTTTAGGGTCGATTAGCGTCGATCAGTGTCGATGTAGCGTCGATGTAGCGTCGATTGGCGTCGACTAGAGTCGATTCGCAAAAGCCAGCAAGATGGTATGGGAGGCCCCCGTGAGCTGCAACCAGAGGCTCGATTAACAAACGCGGCACAGACGCAAATTCTCTGAGGTTTGTGCGTGTTTCTCGGGTCGGCGCTGGCCCCCCTTGGCAGCGCCGCTGGCTCCGCCCTGAGGCGCGCGGAGCGCGCCAGGGAACGGGGTCCAGCGTCGGCCCGGGAGTTCCTAGCGACCCTCCTCCTCCTCCTCCTCCTCCTCCTCCTCCTCCTCCTCCTCCTCCTCTTTCTCCTCCTCCTCCTCCTCCTCCCTCCCTCCTCCTCCTCCCTCCTCCTCCTTCTCCGTCTCCTTCTCCTTCTCCTCCTCCTCCTCTTCCTCCTCCTCTTTCTCCTCCTCCTCCATCTTTTCTGGTAGTGCACAAGCCCTCTGGCACACAACATCTGGCGTCTAGCACACTGCGGCTGCACTTGCACCGCACAAGCCGCTATCCGAGGAACAGCAAACACAATATCGGAACGCAGAGCTCGACCAACAGCCACAAGGAATAATAATAAGAAACCAGCGCGCGCATTGGAGGAACGAGGAGGACACCGATCTCCTCCCTCCTCTCACCTCCTCACCGAACCTCGACCTCCTCCTCCTGCCCGAGCTGGAGCAGGTCTCCCGCCTGCCTCCGCCCTCCACGTCTCCCGCTGCGCCCTTGCCCGTGCCGTCCCGCGTTGCAGGAGCTGGGCGGGGGCGGCTACGGCGAGGAGGAGCCTTCATCAAATGACCATCATCATCACCATCATCACCATCATCATCATCATCACCATCACCATCATCACCATCATCATCATTATCATCATCATCATCATCATCACCATCACCATCACCATCACCATCATCACCATCATCGTCATCATCATCAGAGCATCACCCGTAACCATTTAGGCTCAAGGTTGGACGAAACCAAGGGCCTGGCTCGAGAGTTTTGGCCACATGGGCGTTTGCGGCCACTCTTATCCTCTTCAGTCTGTGAGCACCAGTCTCTCTCTCTCAGATGTGTTGCTGCATCGGCTCTGCACCTTGCCTCGATTGAACAGGTGCTCGCTGATCACTTCGGCTTGACCTAGCAGCTTGGTCGAGCAGAACATGTCCGCGATCAACGTTACGGGCGCCGCCCAAGGTCGTGGACATGTCCGATAAGGTTGGGTTTGTCAGCCTGAAGCAGGACTTTCTGCAGGCTCCTTTTGATACTCTCGAGAATTCCCACCAGGCTTTCGCATCGAAGGTGCCCTCCTCTCACGCTGTTCTCGGATTGTTTGGGAACGTCGTGCTGTGGAGTTGGTAGGGGAGAACACTACCTCATTTTAGGTTTCAAAGACAGGCTGATGCCATCGTCTTTTGGAGCGCGCGGCAATTTAGATCATCCTGAAGTGTGCGACAGCGCAGGCAGGGACGCTGATCCGCGCTCGTGCGTTCGATATCAAAAAAACAGTGTGACGTCGGACTTCCCGTTTCCTGCCAGGGCATCGGATTTCTCTGACAACCTTCGGGCATTGAACGAAACGTTCTCCACGCAGAACCCCAGGGTCCCGCGGGATCCATAGCCTTAGCGTGTTCGTTGCAAATTGTCTCCTCAGCATCGGCGTCTCTTCTTCAATATGGCGGAATGGCGGCATGGCCTTCAGGAAAAGATTGACAAGGTAGGCCGCCTGGCGAATTCGGATGGGATCGGGGGTGACGTTTTCGCGCTTCGCTCGAAGGAAGACCCAGTCCCGCTTTTCCATTTTCAATGCTGTCCGCAGGTTTCGCGGGTAATTCACAGGTCAGGTGACGAAGAAGGCCCGAAGGCTCTTGGTCTCGAGGCTACCCGTGCTAAGTTTCAGGTTCCGTACGATACGGCACCACCGGGTCTTTCTTGGGATTAACAATGACTGGCTAGATCGCTCGCGTGATAAAAGGTTGAGGCAATGGGCCCAGTTCGGACTCGTGGGGGCAGTGGCGAGGGGTCTGTCATGTAGGCAACTGTTCTTCCAGCAGCTCCGATCTGGCGTCGAGTCAGTCGAGCAGCTCGTCTTGTGGTGAAGGGGGCCACCCTCTTGAAATGCCTCTGTCTTTCTCTTCGTCTCCGCCTTTTGCTCTCTCTGCTCTCGCCCGGAAGTCTCGAGGAGTCTGCGCGTCCATCTCTCATGCTTCCAACCGTGCTTCGCGACGGGATCGGCAGTTGTTCCCGTGTGCAAGATGGCTCAGTATTCTTTGCGTCCGAGAGGCTCATGGCACGGGCGGGAATCCGACAGGGGCCCAGCACGACTTGACACGTGCAGCTGCGGGATTATCTTGAGGCGGCCCCAGCATTGCCCGGGGTGTCTCGGGTGTTCATTCTGCGGATATCCGAAAGCTCTTCTCGGTTGGGCGCTTGCCGACTGCTCTAGGCAGGATACCCCTAACGAGGTTTTGCGGATCTCATGGAGCTCCCTGGGCGCTGAACGTTCATCCCCTCGCTTCGGGCGAGGCCGCGCGGGCTTTTATCCTCGCCGTGCAGTGCGTCGGGGATGGCCTGGAGGATTATCGGAATGCTTCGGCCGCGCTTGGAGGCGGCGTCAATTTTACGTTGGAGGAAGGCGGGAGGCAATGTGCCGATGACTCTGGTTGACGCCCCGGGTGCCGTTACCGACGTGAATTGTTTGCGATGTCTCCCCGCAGTGGACGGAGCTCAGCCAGCCTGGGCCGACTCGGCGAGAGACGCACACTAGCGAATTTGTTAATGTCAGTGTTCTGGATAGGCTGTATCTCGCGAGCCCCTCTGCGACGCCTGCTGGCTACGCGATGTCCTGCGCGGCCTCTTGGGGAATGTCTCTGACCATGTACCTGTGGCCTCCGCGTTTCGGAAATGCGCCTCGTCGGAGTTCGGGGTTTCCTTCTCGGGCTGGGACCAGTCAGATCTTTCGCGCTTAGCTAGAATATTCGTCTGGGGCGGATCGCACTGCCCCGGTCGTCGAGCCGGTTGCCGCGGTCATGCGGCGCGCGCGGGGGCCACGCGCGCGGGCGCGCAAACGCGCGCATACGGCATCGGCAACCGAGGATCATTTTTCTTTGTCCGCTGCGAAGGGGGCGCGCGCCGGCTGTCGCGAGCGCGCTGCGCGCGCCGCCCCGTCCCTCGGGCAAGTGCGCCCAGACGTCGCAGAGCGATCGGATTCGCGACATTTCGCGCGAGGCGGGGCAGGGGCCCGCTGCTCAGGGGAAGGCGAGGGTTCGAGCGAAGTTTCAGCGTCGCAGAGCACTGGCACCCCATGGACAAGCGCATCCCCTCCTCGGCCACCCTGGACTCCAGGGGGGCCAACGTGGTTTCGACGGACCTTGCGGGCGAAGCTCTCGCTTGCCATGGCGACGATGTCTCTGTCTGGCCTGACTTGGATGCTATTGTTTCGCCAGTTTGGGATGTCTCAGACGACTGGTGGGCGATGCCATTCGAGGGTTTCCAACATGCGGTGCGCGCGCGATCTGACTCCATGCCTGGCCACGACGGCATTGCGCGCCAAAGTTGGAAGGGCGCCCTCGCCTGCGACCTGCGCCCGCGTCTGACCGGGGCGCGGGCCGAGGGCCCTCGGAGAACATTCGTTGCGTGCTGCATTCTTGTCTTGCCAGGGGTGATCGCGCCAGCGGGCTCGCGCCCGCCCCCTCTCGCGCCCCCGACGCTTGCCACCTTGTGGCCGCGGCCGACACTGACTGCGAGGTCGCGTCGATTGCGCTCTCCTGGAGATCGGGGCGGAGCGCCTTTGAGACTGCCCCAAAGGCCCGGGCATTTCTGCGGGGGCGTTCGATGACCGATCAGATTCTGGAGGCCGAAGCGCGGGGCGTTCAAAGCTGCGCGCGTGAGTGGGAGTTGTCCTGCATGTTTCTCGCGGACTCTGCAGCGGCTTATCCCAGCATCGCGGTTGCCTGGCTCGTTCGGGCCCTGGCTTTGATGCAGACCCATCTTTGGCTCGTTGGCCTCTGCGTGGCTCTTTGCCAGAATAACTCTGGCTTTGTCTGTCGCGGCGGTGGCCGACGCCGCGCCATTCGTCTCTTGAGGGGCGTCGGGCAAGGCGACCCGTCCAGCGCATGTCTCCATGCTCTCGCTTTTGGCCCCTGTATTCGATGGATGGCCCCGCGCATTCCGCGTCGCATCCTTTTGCGTGCTGATGATGTTTGGTTTGGGCTTCGAAATGTAATCTCTACTCTGCCTCTGCTGCCGCCGTTGCTTCAACGCTTGGGCGGGGGTGCCGGGCCGCGTCTGAATTCGAGGAAGCGCGGTCCAATGCGTTCGTTGTGGCGCAGAACTCTCCATTCGGGCGCGCCGCCAGATTAACCCGTTGTTTGCCTTGCTTGGCCAAGGGGGCTTCTCTGATTCAACTTGCGCTACTCGCTCGTATTTCGGTATCCAGATCGGTCTTGTCGGTCGGCAGTGCGCGCGGGATGCTGCTCCGGAGAAATGTCACCTGCGTTGCAATGAGATTCGGCGGCCCCGCCTGGGTCTCGAAATGTCGATTCGACTGCGCGCGGTCTGGGCTGCAACGGCGCTTCGGGCCGCGATGCAATCCTGCCCCGTCGCGAAGGAGGTCCTACGTTGTGAAGGGGATCTGTTGCAGTTGTTGATGGCTGGGCCTCGGTTCTGTTTCAATCGTGCGACGTGTTCCCGCTTGCATGACTTGGGCTTGCCCATAGAGCTTTTGTTTCTGGCCAGCGTCGGTGCGGCTGCTCCGGTTCGTCTGCAGCGCCTGGCGAAGTTTGCGCGCTCCTGGGTAACCTGCTGACGTGAGATGATTTCCACCTTGCGCGCGCAGCGTCGATGCGGCGGCAGACGACAGTCGTCCATTTTGTCGTTGGTGCGCGAGAGACTCACGCACCCATCTGCGCGCCATTATTGCAGGCTGCGGGTCCCCAAGTAAAATTCACTGCCCGTTTCCGCGCCGGGCCTTCCCCGACCCTCCCCCTCGTCATTGCGTGGTGTAAAGGGTCCAGCGTTGGACCCCTGGGGCCTTGACCTCCCAGGTTTCGGGGGCTGTCCCCTGCGTCCGATAGGTTTCCTCTGGAGGCGCCTGCTACCTAGGTTCGGCGGCACTGCGGGTCTTGTCTCGTGGGGCGTGCACAAGTTCGAGGTTCCGCCGTGGACATGATAGATGTTGTTGGAACTGCGGCACGGGCGGGGCCTCTGACTCATGGCGCACTAGCAGTTTTGCCCTGGATTTCTTCGGCTGAGTTAAGTTATCGCCCCATGTCTTGCGCCATTTGTTGGCACAGAGTCTTGGCTTCTGCGCATGACCCCATTGCCCCCCCTCCCCCGCGCGCTCGCCGCCCACCGCCGCCGCCCCGCGCCGTTTCCTGAGCAGCGGCTGGTTTGTGTCAGTATGTGCCATGCGTTCTTGTTTGTTCGGGCGAGTGCCCGCGAGGGCCCACAGGCCACCCCTCATGATCCCTGTAAGGCCGGCGCCCGTCTCCATTGTTGTAGGCGCAAGACATTTCAAGACGCCTAGCTCGAGGTCAGGAGTGGGTGACGGTTGCTGCCCTCTGAACTATTGTGTTCAGTGCGGTTCCTGTTTCAGATCTTCTGTTGCCATGCCGGGATGTTGCCCCGCAAATGTTCGTTGATAACCTCAATTCGTCATTGCCTTATCAAAAACTGCCTCAACGTGACGGTTGTCGCCATTGGGATGTGGACTGTTTGCTGTCTGCGTAGCGCAGGTTGCGGACGGTAATCATTCTCCTTCCTTGACCCTCATGCTGCCTTCGTTATCCTTAGGGGCATCTCTTGCTTCTCTCGTTTCTCTGGCGCCCCTCGCTCCCCTCGCTTCTGTCGCTATATATATATATTGTTATCTTTCTCTCTCTCTCTCTCTATGTCTCTTTCTCTGTTCATCTCTCTCCTTCTCTCTCTCTCTCTCTCCATGCGTGATTGTTCGTTCTCTTCGTTCTCAGGCGGTTTTCGAGGAGGTGCATCGGTTCCCCGGCAGTTGCCGCCTGTCTCTGCGTCGATCGATCCGTCTGTGCGGCGGTGCGCAGTTTTCGCGGTTGCTCATAGGGCCGTGCGTGGATGCGGCAAGACACGCCGAGAGTTAGTATGGGCCACCGCTTGTTTTTTGTGGTGCTTGCGCAGCGGAGGTTACAGAGGCTGCGCTAGGACCACTGCCCGCCCTTTTCTCTCGTTGGCTGGGGCCGACGGGGTGCCAGCTGTTGTGGTCGAAGACTTGCTATCGCATACAGGCTTTTGTTGTTGTTGTTGCACGCACTGCATGGAGTCATCGGCTGTTAACCCGTCAATGCCATCGGACCGGTGGAACATATCATCCGCATCATCATCATCATTATCATCATCATCACCACTACCACCGTCATCATCATCATCATCATCATCATCATCATCATCATCATCATCATCATCATCAAACACATGAGAGTAGAGAGGGAAAACAACGAGCCGGCGCCTTGACTGATTGACCATCATCATCGTCATCGTCATCAGCAGGGCCACGATCAACACCATCATGTTCATCCATCATCATCACCAACTTCGCCAGCATCGTCATCAGCACTATCATCGTCAGCAGCGCCATTTTCCTCGCATCACTATCAGCATCAACGGCATGAGCATCATCTCCATCCTCATCACATAACCATCAACGCAAGAGCATCAGCAGCATTGGCAACATAATCGTCAACATCGCCATCCTCATCATCAACATCATCAGCAACATTCCCATCATCAGAGCATGCCGCCCTTTTTCCCACCCGCCCCCTTAGTCAGCTTCGTCATTCCGTGTCCGCCGACTTGTCCTCGTTATTTGTTGTTGTCTTCGTTGTTTCTTTATCGCGCGTCTCCCGAAGCGCCATCGATGCTCGACCCTTGAGTGGTGCGGTGCATAGTTGTTCGGCCATCAGTGCCGAAAAACTATGCACCGCACCGCGAGGGAAGGTGGCCTGAACAGAGTCCAGACATGGTAAGCTGCATGGGCGCCGATTTTGTCATCTTACTGTTCTTCATCCCTGCTCCTTTCTTGCCACCAGCATTCTCCTCGTGGCTCCCTCCCCGTCTTGAACCTTCTTCCTCCTTCCCTTCGGTCCCCTCCGTGTTTTCCTGCTCCACTGCCCGCACTTCCACGCGCACTTCGCCCCCTGGTCGCGAGGAGCAGTGGCAGGAGGACGCGCCGCCAGAAGAGGAGGAGGCCCAGCCCGCAACCCGCCAGAGTATGGCGGCTAACGTTGTTGATTTGGCTGGTTGGTAAGTTTGTCCGTTTGAACACGCAGCCCACGCCCCAGTTCACATACGATTTGTGCGATCGCCTGGTACCGAAGGAGAGAGATGCCTTTCATGTACTTTGTGACCGTGGCAGCGGTGGTGCAAGATTGTCATGCGTCATGAATGTTCCAAGCGCCTGCACGGCAGCAAAAACAGTTCATCTTCAAAGCGAATCGGGACATTCACAAAGTCATGATATGTGCCAGTTCATCTACGTTTTCATCCACGCCGTCTTCGGCTCGCAAGCCTGGAGCCGCCCCAGCATGATGAGTTGTTGCGCTTGCTTCCGCCCGTCCCCCGCCCCCCACCACCATTGTTAATTATCTAGTTTGCCCAGGGGCTCGCTGTATCACTGCAGTGCTGATATAGCTGAAAGTGTTCATTCATACAACATGATCTACAACCTTCGACCCATCCCGCCACCGCGCCTGGGTTGTGGGTCAGAAGCCTCATGGATACTTTGCTGGGGTTTCTTGGGAGGCCTCTCGGGAGCCTCTTGAAAGCAGTTGTGACGACACTTGGTGATTTATATATTTGGGCCTCTTTTGTGCCTCTCGGCTCCATGTTGGAGGCCTTTTGAGGCTTCTTGGAAACTTGCTGGCGGTCTCGGGAGTCCTCTTGAGGTGGAGGACTCGAAATGTCAGTTTGAGTTTTCCCTCTTGAGGTCATCTTGGGCCGTCTTGATGGCCTCTGAGGCAGCAATGGGACTATCTTGAGCAGCAGTCTTCTGGCTCCCTTGGAGGCCTCTTGGGCCGTTTGGGGGGCGATGTCGGGGTTATCTGGGGCCCTCTTTGGCGGTCGGAATCCCGCAAAGGCGAGAACTTTAAAATCAATCAAACCGAATGCACATCAATGATTCTGGCCTCTCAAGGCCCTCTTGGGGGCCCTCGTGGGCGTGTTGGGGTCATCTTGCCGCCCTGAAGCCATCGCATGCGTCTCGGGACGCTCCTGGGCCGTCTTGAGGCCGTCTCGGACCGACACGAGGGCTTCTCGGGGCCCTCTTGGGCCGTCTTCGGGCCCTCTGACCTCATGTCAAGCCAAGCGACATGCTCGCGAGAAGCCCCAAGAGCGCCTGGGGGCAACCCAAACGCGAGGCTGGGCGGCGGCCTCCACTGCAGAGCAATTTCGATATTCAATACAGGCAGCTCGGACCTGTCCTACGGCGGCGCGCGGCCCTACGGCCGCGACCTGTGCCTGCCAGCTCATGTCTTCTGATTAGAAGGGGAAGGGACTACCGGACGCTTGCCCCTTTCCATGCAGCGACACACCATTCAGTGCTTCGCGGCACGGTCGCGCATCTGGGCATGGTCATGGGTGTTTGTTATGTTGTTGTTTTCTAAGACGACCCCCCGTCTCGTTTCAACACGTGGGCAGGCAACGTGGGAGGAGCCCTTACAGATCGAACGAAGAAACACGCTAACCATCACAAGGATGTCGCGAGATTTTGTCGACGCCAATCTTGGTCATGGTCTATGCCGGGCGTCGCCGATTCGCGGGGATCATCCAAGAATCGACGATGACCACGATTGACGATGACCTGGACCCCCACCAACGTTTGAGCGTTCAGCCTTGGTCATAGTAATGCCTTCCTTGCCCTGGCATTGTCTTTAACCTTCTGACGCGTAACGGTCGTCATCCGCGCCAGTCCCCCTTTCCCGTGGTAATGGTAACGATCGTCCGCCGGGGTGGAACCTGGACCCCCCCCCACATGTTGGTGTTCGCGCGCAGACCAGGGCGATCGCAGCTCGCCCCTGCCTCGACGCGCCCCACCCAGCCCAAGCGCTATCATTACCCAGGGCCCCACCCCCCTTCCCCCCAGGTAACGATCGCGACTGGAAAGGATTGAAAAGCAATGTCTCGGGCGTTGCTGAACGGGGGAGCGATGCATGAGGGGCGAACAAAAAGGTGCACCTTCCGTGCACCTCTGGAGCCCTGAAGGGACCCCCTGTCAGGCGATCGCAAACATGGATCAAGGGAGCGTGGATTAGCAACGGGTCCCGTTTCCATGGGGAATCGCTGATTTCCGCCGCCGAGCGAGGCGGCACCGGCCGCATTTTGGAGAGGGTACCTCCCCCGATCCATGGATTTGGTGACCGCGCGCCAAATCCATGGATCGCCAATCGATGTTTGCGCGCCCCCGAGTGCACCTTCGGAGCCCTGAAGGGACCCCCTGGTACAAAAGGGGCACGAAGGGTGCACGTTTCCCCCCTCCCCCCCCCATGCAGCTTGCCCCCCAGTAAGCAACGCCCGACCCCGCGCAACGACTGTTACCGGAAATAACTGAAAACCCGTTTCCCTCCACCGGAAGGGACCGGATTTCCAGATTTGCAGGACCTTGACGTCTGAATTCCTGTCGAGGTTTTAACCAGCCCTGGTTGGTCTGTAGGTTTTTGGGGGCTACTTTCTAGCATTCTGGAAGGCCAGGGCTTGGCCGCGCCCCAGCGCGCCGCCAGGCGCCCCCCGAGCCCACTCCGGCCGCGCCCCCGGCGCGGGTGCCGCAGCTCGCCCAGTGCACGTTCCAGGCTGGCCGCCCGCGTGCCCGCCGCTCGACGCTCGCCCCTCGCCACCCGCCGCTCCCTGCTCGCCGCTCGGCGCGAATCTCGGGGGCAGCGGCAGGGGGGGATGGGCACAGGGGGGGATGCATCGCCCTGCAGTCGCCCAGTGATCCCCGACAGGGGTCCGATCGCCCCAGCCTGCCCAGGAACGCGCGGATTCACTGTGGGGGGCCAATCGCCGATCTATCGGCGATGTATCGCCGATTCCAGGTCGGTGTGTCCCCCCCTTTGCTAGTCCCCCCCCTATCGCTGCCCGTCAGAATTGAATACTTGGTGGGTCCAGTGCCGGAGCAGGAGAGGATCAGCGGATTCGGTTTCTACTTCGGTCGGCCTCCCACTGGTTGCGTGACGGGACTCTGTTCTAGGGCCTGCTCGGCTTCTGGACCGACAAGGTTTGAGCCTGTAGTCGAGCAGGCCCTGAAGCAGAATCCTGCCTCGCAACTGGTGGGAGGTCGACCGGAGGAGTAAATTAACTCACTGCTTCTTTCCTGCTCCAGTACCGGGCCCGTGAAGAGATGTAGTGTTGAATCCGCAGAGGGCTTTGAGAGAGAATCTGCAATGCGTTTGGTGCGCACTTGGACTAAGCACAGACATGGCTGCAGCATTTGTGTTTGTACCCTCCGCACTTCGAGACCCGCATTGTGCTCTTGGAGCAGTAATCCAGCTCCTCCTTCCCCGCGGGTGGTCCCAGGTTTGGCGTTGGGGTCGGAATCCGCTCGCTCGCCGCTCGCCCGCCGCCCGCCGCTCACCTCCCGCCGCTCACCGCTCACCTCTCGCTCGTCGCTCGCCCGCCGCTCCATCCGGCTCGGTCCTCGCCCTGGCTGTTCGGGCGCGGGCCGCAGGGTGTGGGCTCTCGTGTCCGGTGATCAATGAGAGGGCACCAATCTAGCGTCGACCAGGGTCGATCCAGCGGCGATGAGCGCCGATTCGATTCGACTAGCGCTGCCTCGCGAGAGCCAGCACGGCGAGAAGGAAAGCTCCCGTGCGTTGCCACAGAAGGGGTTGCAGGGATGCGCCACGAGGGGCCCAGGAGGGAGCTCGAGCTGGATGGTCCCCGAGACCCCCTGGAGGTCCCCAGCAGGCCCTCAGCAGGCCTCCGAGAGGCCCGTGGCGCTACGGGGGGCCGCGCGGCGAGTGTGAGTCCACCGTGAGCGTGCGCAGTCGAGGAGGATCGGGATCTTTGAGACGGAGGTCCATGCAAAGGTTGAGACGGGGGTCAATGCAAACGGGGGTCAGCCGGAGCGCCAGATGTTGCAGGATCGCGGGGTCTTGCAGAGCCTCACAGGGGGAATATTCAAAAGTAATCAAGAATTACCCTGGCGACGTACCCAACCCCTGCGCAAAAGCGGGGCGCAAATAGTTTAGGATACTTTATAAGGGGGCGATGACGGAGCGAGGGTTACATGTGTCTGCAGACGGAATTCGGGAGACTCGCAGGACACTGGCTACAGGAAAAGGGCTTGATAAAGCTGATGAGTTACAATTCCTGAGCACTCCTAGCCACTTCGAACACGGGGATCACAGCAGGCCTCGAAAATGGCGACAGTTTCACAGATCGCAGCCCCGCAGGGATGGCGAGGTCTAATTTGGGTCCGCGCGTGGCGTCACTGTGCTGGGCCCCCCAGCAGGCCTCGAAAGTGGCGACAGTTTCACAGATCGCAGCCTCCAGGGGATGGCGAGGTCTCATTTGAATCTGCCCGTGGCGTCACTGTGCTGGGCCGCCCAGCAGGCCTCGAAAATGGCGACGGTTTTACAGATCGCACCCCCCCAGGGATGGCGAGGTCTCATTTGAATCTGCCCGTGGCCCTCATTGTGCTGGCCCCCAGCAGGCCTCGAAAATGGCGATAGTTTCACAGATCGCACCCCCCCAGGGATGGCGAGGTCTCATTTGAATCTGCCCGTGGCGTCACTGTGCTGGGCCCCCCAGCAGGCCTCGAAAATGGCGACAGTTTCACAGATCGCAGCCCCCCCAGGGATGGCGAGGTCTCATTTGAATCTGCCCGTGGCCCTCACTGTGCTGGGCCCCCCAGCAGGCTTCGAAAATGGAGGCAGTTTCACAGATCGCAGCCCCCCAGGGATGTTGAGGTCTAATTTGAATCCGCGCGTTGGCCTCACTGTGCTGGGCCCCCCAACAGGCCTCGAAAATGGCGACGGTTTCACAGATCGCACCCCCCCAGGGATGGCGAGGTCTAATGTGAATCTGCGCGTCGCCCTCACTGTGCTGGGCTCCCCAGCAGGCCTCGAAAATGGCGACAGTTTCACAGATCGCAGCCCCCCACGGATGGCGAGGTCTCATTTGAATCTGCGCGTCGCCCTCACTGTGCTGGGCCCCCCAGCAGGCTTCGAAAATGGCGACAGTTTCACAGATCGCAGCCCCCCACGGATGGCGAGGTCTAATTTGAATCTGCGCGTCGCCCTCACTGTGCTGGGCCCCCCAGCAGGCCTCGAAAGTGGCGACAGTTTCAGAGATCGCAGCCCCCCAGGGATGGCGAGGTCTAATTTGAATCTGCGCGTCGCCCTCACTGTGCTGGGCCCCCCAGCAGGCCTCGAAAATGGCGACAGTTTCACAGATCGCAGCCCTCCGCAGGCAAGACAGGAAAAGGCAGGGAGGGAGGAGGAGGAGGAGGAAGGAAGGAGTGGAGACCACACTGCTCTATTCAAAACGAATACCCAACCAAGAAGGGTTGGGAAATAGTCGGGAGCCGATTTTTTGAGTATTTTGCTTTACCATTTTGGGATATGTTCGACTATTTCTTATGTTTCGTACAAAATCCCCCTGTAGGAGGACAGGCCCGACTTAACAGTAGAAGCCCAGGACGACATGCCCGAGGATCGGAGGTCGAGGTGCTGGGGCGTTTGTGTTCGGTCGGGCATGTCCCCCGACATGCGGATTTTAGACGCACATGGTCAAACATGCCCCCTAATATTCAAAAATGGTGAAACAAAACATCACGGTATTATGTTTTAACTATGTTTGAATCGTCCTTCTGTAGAGGGATTGGCCCGACTTACCGTTTGTGAGCGCCGCCCGTGTGGCTCTCAGGGCTTAGCCTCCCTCAGACACGGAGCGGGGGCCGGAGGCTCCGCCTCGTTGGTGCGCAGCTGTGTGGAAGTTGCCGTCCCCGCACACGCGCTTGGCTGGCGACCTCCGCCCAGAGGGCGGTGCGGTGGTGCAACGCGCGGGCGGGAGCTGGTTGTCAGAAGCTGGAGAGGATGGTGAAGGCACTCGTCTGTTCTCAGTATTTGTTCCTCTGGTCACGCACCGTCTGAGGCGTAGGTTCGCGTCGTGTCGACCAGCTGCGACCCCAGCGCGGGCGTGTAAGGTTGAACGCCGCCCATGGCACAGAATCGACCCATCGTTAAACGATTCGGCGTTTCTTACAGGGCTGATCGTTAGAGTATGAAATATCTCCGCGGTGTCAGGAACCAACGTCGGGGTCGAAACGGCGCGAACCCGTAGTACCTGACCTGACCTGAGTCCCTCTGACGTGCCCGCGGCACCGCGCATTGCGTCGCCGACAGGCAGCCAGACGCGCGCGCGGCACCCGCCGCATCCCGGGGGCGGGGAGCTTCGGGAGTGGCTCGGCAAAGCTCAGCAGCCCAAGCGCTCCTCCCCTCACCTCCAGAGGGAGAACGAGCATCAAGCAGTGGCGAGGCGTCCTAGCTGGGTCCTAGCTTGCTTACAGGCCCACCGAAGACTGTTGTAAGAATCTGTTGTGGCTTGCACGAAATGTTCGTACAACATGTGTGGCTGAGACCGTCATGTTTGAGTACATCGGCTTTATGTTATTAGAACATTGTTCTTGTTGTTGAAACATTATTTGGGCTCAAGAATATTTCGTGGTAGGCCTATAGAAATGCCGGGACGGTCGGTCCTCGCCCAAAAGTAGAAATGACACGCGCGTCGCTTCTCAAATTGTGTTTGTGGGTCCCGGTTGCATCTAAGACGCCTCCCAGATGGGGTCCGAGTAGATGGGGTTGGAGGGTCGCGCCGCATCGCCGATGCATCGCTGGTACGGCTCGACGTGGAGCCGATGCGACTCGACATGGAGCTCTTGGGGGCATCTTGGCTGCCTCTTGGGGCCTCTCAGGACCCTCTTGGGGCCTCCTCGAGCCCGCTCGGGGTTGAAGGCTCGAATTTTCGGTTCGTGGTCCTTCTCTGGATTCTGGGTCCCTTCTTGGGGCCGTCTTGGGGCCTTTCTGGAGTATCTTGGGCGCTTCTTCGGCCGTCTTAGGAGCCTCTTGGGCAGTCTTGGGAGCCTCTCGGCTTCGGGGAGTCTTTGGCCGTCTTGGAGCGTCGGAATGCCAAATAGGCGACAAGGCTAAAACTTCCAAAACCTCAGGAACTATATGATTTGGGCATGGTGGGACGATCTTGGGAGGCCTCCTCTTCGGGGCCTCTTGAGCCGTCTTGGGAGTCTCTTAGGCCGTCCTTGGGACCATCTTGGGTGTCTTGGGGCGATCGTTCGGCGACTCTGGGCCCTACTGGATTGTCTTGGGTCCTCATGAGACCCCTCCGGCCCGTTTCTGGGCCCTCTTGGGTCCGAAATAATCACGCGAGAAGGCGATCCAAGGCCCAGGGGGCACGCCAGGTCAGGAGTGAGGACTGGAGGCTTCAGGGATTAGACAAAGGACCTGAGGACACGCCCACTCCGTGCCCAGCGGCACGGTGGCGGATTCCTCAGGACTAAGCGGTTCTAGCCAGGGAACGGTTCGACGTCGTGGATTTTTGAACACCGGGTCTTAATTGGTTAGGCATTTTTGTTCATTCCGGAATAGTCATGATTGCCCCCTCCCGTCCAACGAGCGACTCGGATTCAATCATCAATTTTGCTCTTGTATGCAAGCTTAACGACACCCAGGGACCCTGTTGCTTATTAAGGAGTATCAAACACCTATCATATGTCCAAGACTAACGTACCCTTGTTGATCATTCTAGAATCATGACTCTCCACCTCCCGTCCTGCGAGTGACTCATTTTCAATAATCAGTTCTCCTTTTTTATAACGCCCCCCTGCTGCTTTCAGGAATAGCAAGCACCCACTACTCATTCATGAATATCCTACCCTTGAAGATCATCCCATAATAAGAATGATGATGTCCCCCCTCCCGTTCGGCGAGTGACTCGGATTGTATCACCAATTCTGATCCGACGACACCCAGTTGGTTATTTCGAAATCGTAAACATTTGTCCCGAAGCATGTCCGACCCACACTCAGCGGGAAGGTTCTCATGGCGTTGCCGCACCCAGTTCAGCACACCTTCACACGTTTTGTGGCCCCATGCGGAACTCCACCGAAGGCCGCGGTGGGAGGGTTCGCATGGCGCCGCCGCACCCACTTCGGCACACCCTTCACAAGCTTCGTGGCCCCATGGGGAGCTGGAAGGTTCACATGGCGCCGCCGCACCAATTTAGCCGCACCCCTCTACGTCTCATGGCCCCATGGGGAGCTCCACCGAAGACCCTGGTGGGACGATTCGCATGGCGTCGCCGCACCCATTTCAGCACACCCCTCGCACTTGTCGTGGAAGCTCCACCGAAGGCCCTAGTGGGAGTGTTCGCATAGTTCTCGCCGCCGCACCTATTTCGGCACACCCCTCACACGCTCCCTAGCTCCAGAGAGCGCATTTCGTTACCCACAATTGCATATGGCTGGGCCCTTCGCCCCGATCATTACGGTTCCTGGGCACGGGCTCAGAGGGAGGTTTTGGGAGACCAAGATTGCGAACAAGTTGCAGGACACGTGTCAACATGGGAGGCAGCATGAGGACGCAGATTTCTGCCCCCCGAGCGGGGGCACGGCTAAATGTAGGGCGACCAGGGATCCAACATTTCCGCCACAAGAGCCCATATTGGGTTGTTGCAAGAACAGGCACAATGAAAGGGGCGTCCACACACTCGCCAGCGGAGCAGCCCGCTTTTTCTTGGCGACTTCTTCTACCGCTCCACCCAGGCCGCGCTTGTGTTGGGGCACGTGTTGGGGCAGTGCTCCCACAACGCTTTTGCGTGCGCATCGTCAGTATGCAGTCTAGTCCAGTAGAGTTCCGCCACGGACGACGCGGTTGCCCGATATTGACCAGAAATTGCATCGACGTGCGCTGATCGTCTGGCTTGATCGTGTTGACGTGATCGTGGCGACTCTTCTTGCTGATCCACCTGGGCCGCGCAGGCCGCCCCCGCCCCCGCGAAGCCGGCAGCCGCCCCCGCGAAGCCGGCGGCCGCGAAGCCGCGGGCGTCGCCGCAGGCGCAACCAGAGGCCAGCGACTCCCACCCTCCGCCGAGACGCCCGAGACGGGGGCGGAGGGTTGAAGGGCGAAACCGTCGGGAGACCACCTTCTCTTCCCCCCTCCCCCTCCCTCCCATCCCATCCCGTCTCGCTCCTTCCTCCCTCACTCCCTCCGCCTCCTCTCTCTCTCATCTCACCTCCCTCCCCTCCCTCCTTTTCTGATTCTGTAGGGTTAAGCCACAACCGCCGACCCGTATATAAACTACTGCGCATCCAAGACTGCATTTTACCAGGTTTGTCCGAATCACGACACGGCGCTCGACATCGTTCCTGTTGCTTCGTTGCTGTTATCGTACCTCTTGGTGCTCTTGTGTTGCCTTTAGGTGGCGTCTTGGCCTGTCTGCAGGCAATATCCGGCCGCCTCGAGGCATCTTGGGCCAAGTTTTGGGGCCTCTTGGGGGGTTCCTGGGTGTTTCTCGGAGGGCTTTGGGGTTCTTCTGGGGGTCCCTCAGGGCCTATTGCGGTGTCCTTGGGGCAGGCTGGGGGCGTCTTGGGGCCGAAGGCTCGAAACGGTGCCCTCTGGACTCCCTCTGGGAGCCGTCTGGAGGCCCTCTTGGGCTGTCTTGGGGGCTTCGTGTGTGTTTTTTGACCCTCTTCGACTCCCCTTTGGGGCCCCTTCGGCCGTCCAGGGGCGATCTTGAAGGTTTCTTTGCCCGTCTTGGACGTTGCGAAAGCCGAAAAGGCGAGTATGCGAAACAGGCTGTTTTTTTACATGGAATGGGACGATTTTTGTTTCTTGGGGCCCTCTTGGGACGCATCTTGGGGGCCTTTTGGGGCGTCTTGGCAGCTTCGGAGGCCTTCTGGGGGCCATCGTGGGCGTCAAGGAGCGATATTTCGGCGACTCGTGGCCCTCTGGGACCGTCTTGGGGAGCGTTTTGGTGCCTTTTTGGCCCGCTTTGGCGCCCTCCGCTCCCCCAGGGCGCGTTCGGTCCAGGGTCGGGCTTGGCCATGGAGGGTGGGTCAAATTTCTGGTTTGGGGTCCCAGGGGGGGACTATGGGGGAGGACAATCTCACACGTCTAGAAACCCACAAGGGGTCGGCGGATTTGTTGTTGCTCTCTCTTTCTTTATGTCTCTTTCTCTCTCTCTCTCTCTCTCTATCCTTATGCGTGTATAGCTAGATACATGCAAATATAATATGTATACATATGCGAAGTTTGCAAGCCAGTCTGTGCATATGTGTCGACATGTTTTGTGTTATGTCTGCCTGTCAGTCTGTCTGTCTGTCTGTATTTATGCATGTATATATGTACATATATGTGTATGTAGGTGTATGTGTGTATGCATGTGTGGATATGTATGTATAGTGTAGTGCATGCATGCATGAGTGTATGCGTGTAAGTATGTATGTATGATGCATATATGGCGGTTTCGATGTACGTATGTAGGTGCGTATGTGTATGGAATGTGTGTGTCTATGTATGCATACATGTTGGAATGGATGCATGCATGCATGTATGCATGCATGCATGCATGCATGTATGTATGCATGCATATATGTATGTATGTGTATAGGTGTATGTATATGTGTGTATGTATGCATATGTATATGAATATGTATATGTATGTGTATATGTATATGTATATGTATATGTATGTGTTCATGTACATGTATATGTATATGTATATGTGTATGTACATGTATATGTATATGTATATGTACATATATATATGTATCTGTATCTGTATATGTATCTGTATATGTATATGTATATGTATATGTATATGTATGACGGGAAGCGCCCTTGGCGTGGACCGTTTGTTGGTGGTAGAAATCAATGACGGGGTACGGGGCGCACTTTGGAACAATGCTGGCGGATGTTTGAAGCATGACCGTTTCGCTCGAGACATCCTCCAAACATCGGCCCAAGAGGGGACTCCGAATCGACGTCGTGTTCGACTCGCTTTTGGAAGGTTTTCCAACGGCCCAAGGGAAGCCCAAAAGACGCCCCAGAGAGCCCCAGGAGCGCCCAAGAGCGCCCCAAAAAGACCCCCAAGAGCGCTCTAGGAGCCACCCAGACAGCTCACAAGAACCCCAAGACGGCCCGAGAAGGGCCAAGAAGGCCCCAAGAGAACTCCCGGGAACGCCCTAGGAGGCCCCCAAACTGCCCAAGAAAGTCGCAAGACGGCCCAAGATGGCGCCGAGACGGCCTAAGAAAGCTCCCACATAACCCCACGACGCGCCCAGACAGCCCAAGAAGACCCCAGAAGCCCATAAGAGGACCCAAGGGGCCCCCAAGAAGCCCCCAACAGGCCCCAAGACAACCCCGCGCGGCGCCAGGAGCAACGTCTTTCTCCAATTGCCTCGTACTGTCCTCTGTCGTCGTCGTCGTCGCCATCGCACTCCGCATTCCTCCTCGTACTCGCCCTCGTTCTCTTCGTCCTCGTCCTTGTTCTTCTCTTCCTCCTCGTTGTCCTCATGCTCCTCCTCGCTATCCTCACTTTCGCCACGTCGTCCTCGTCATCGACTTGCCCTCGCCTTCTTTTCTTCTTCGCCCAGTACGCCCATTTGACTAAAGCGGCGCTTCCCGTTCGTGTCCGATCAGGTGTTCCTACGTATGTACTAATGAGTGTGTGTATGTAGGTTTTGTATGTATGTATGGATCTATGCATGTATGCATGCATATCTGTATGTATACATATAACGGCGCACCTGGTCCGGGCGCCCGGGGCCGGCGCCGCTACCGCAAATGTGGGCCCCGGGGCGCTCGGGGAGCCCCGGGGCCTCACAGAAGGCCGCCAGAAGGCGCCAAGGGGGCCCCAAGAGGCTCCAGAACAGACCCGGGACGCCCGAAGGTCGCTCCCAGACGCCCAACATGGCCCCAAGGCGGCTTCAGAAGCCCCCAAGACATCCCAAGCGACCCCCAATAGGGCCCCAAAGAGAGCCCCAAGGGGCCAAAATAGCCCCATTCCTTTCGTACAACGTATAGTTTAACATATTGCTTGTTTTCGCTGTCGGTCCGTGTTTGACGACCTCAGAAGCTCCCAAGACCGCCCCAATACGGCCCAGGACGCGCCCCAGAAGGCCCCAATACAGCCCCAGACAGCTCCAGGACGGCCCACGAAGGGCCCAAGACGGCCCAAGAGAGTCCCCAAGACGGGCCCGAGAGGGCCCCAGAGGAGGAAAGCCACCATCGAATTCCAAGCTTTCGACCCCAAGTGGCTCCAGGAGGCGCCGAGAAGCCCCCAAGAAGCGCCCGGAAGGCTCCCAAAAGCACCCCAAGACGCTTCAAGAGGCACCCCAAGAGAGCTCCAAGAAGCAAACATCGTCCCACTCCTGTGGGAAAACGTATATTTTTCGTATGTTCGCCTGTTGGGCTACCATCGCGTCCAAGACGGCCCAAGGGGTTCCAAAGACGGCCTAGGAGGCCCCCAAAAGAGCTCCAAGACGGGCCACGAGAAGCCCAGGACGGCCCAATGGGCCCCCAAGACGGCCCAAGAGAGCCCCAAGGCGCGCCCGAGAGGAGTCCCAGAGAAAGAAAGCCACTCTCGAATTCCGAGCTTTCGGCCCCAAGAGATCCCAGGAGGCGCCGATACGCCCCCAAGAGGCCCCAAGCAGGCCCCCCAAAGCACCCCAAGAGGCACCCCACGAGGCACCCCAAGAGAGCCCCAAGAAACAAACATCCTTCCATTCCTGTGGGGAAACGTATATTGTTCGCATGCTCGCCTCTTGGGCTGTCACCGCGTCCAAGACGGCCCAAGAGGCCCCCCAAAACGGCCTAGGAGGCCCCCAAGAAATCTCCAAGACGGCCTACGAGGAACGCAGGACGGCCCAATCGGCCCCCCAAGACGGCCTAGGAGAAGCCCAAGAAGCGCCCGAGAGGGGTCCCAGAAGAAGACAGCCACTTTCGATTTCCGAGCTTTCGGTCCCAAGAGCCTCCAGGAGGCGCCGATAGGGCCCCCAGAGGCCCCAAGAGGCCCCCCAAAGCACCCCAAGACGTATCCAGGAGGCCTCCAAGAGGCCCCCAAGAGGCTCATAACTTGTTTCTAATGCGCCGGCGAGAGAGGCATCCAAGATGCCATGCGAACCTTCTCTCTGGGGCCGTAGGTGGATCTCCTTGTGGGCCAAGACCTGCGTCAGGGGTGTGCCGACTCGGGTGGATCGGATGGGAACATTGCCGGGGGCCGTCGGTTGAAGTCAATCAAGCCTAGTTAGAACTTGAGCGCGCGCGAAGCGCGCGCGATTGTTCTAGTATGTACATATGGATGGATGGATGGATGGATGGATGTATGGTTTGATGGATGTGTGTATGTATACATATATATGTATATATGTTGAGGTATGTCAGTAGGTAGATAGGTAGGTAGGCTTGTAGGTCGGCAGATATACAAGAGAAGTATGCATGTATGTATACATGCATGCATGTATGTATGTATGTATGTACGCATGCATGTATGTATGTATGCATGCATGCATGCATGTGTGTAAATGTGTATGTGTGTATGCATGTGTGTATGTATGTATGTATGTATGTATGTATGTATGTATGTATGTATGTATGTATGTATGTGTGTGTATGTATGTATGTATGTAGGTAGGTAGGTAGGTAGGTAGGTAGGTAGGTAGGCAGGTAGGTAGGCATGACTGTATGTATGTGTATGTGTATGTATGTATGTATGTATGTAATGTAATGTAATGTAATGTAATTTAATGTAATGTAGTGAAATGTAATGTAATGTAATGTAATGTAATGTAATGTAATGTAATGTAATGTAATGTATGTATGTATGTATGTATGTTTGTTTGTATGTATGTATGTATGCATATATATGTATGTATGTGCGTGTGTGTATGTATGTATGTATGCATGCATGCATGTATGTATGTATGTATGTATGCATGTATGTATGTATGCATGCATGCATGCATGCATGCATGCATGCATGTATGTATACATGTATGCATGTATGTATGTCTGTATGCATGTATGTATGTATGTATGTATTCATGGATACATACTCCTTCTTCTTTGTTCAAACAGGGAGTGACACCCCCTCCGACTCGTGCCCCCTGGATCCGTTCGTGGCCCTGGGGGCTCCTCAGACGCCCCTGCAGAAAGTCCCCCAGGCTTTCCGGGGCTCCCGGACGCCTCTGCTCGGCGTAGTCAACGGGCCCACATCGGTCGGGAGGGTGGCGGAACGGCCCCGCGAGAGCGTCAAGGGGCCCCGGGCACCCACCAGACGCCCGAAGATGACCCAAAGAAGGCCTCCCAGACGCCTTCGAAACGCAAAAGACACCTCACGGGAAGTGGTATGTTCTTCCGTCTTCGGGGCGTCCGAGGTCGCCCAGGAAGCCCAAAGACATCGCCCAGCAACTACCTGGAGGGGCGTCCAGGCAGCCAGAGAGAGGCCCAAAACGTCCGACAGGGCCCAAGTTGGCCCGACGAGAGCCTGTTGTACAATGTGAAGTTGCCTTCATGTTCTGCAGTGGCTGCCAATTCCCTCCCCAACGTACGTAGAAAATCCAGAGAGCATCATAATCACTACTTTCACTCGGATCTCTGACTGGATCCACTTCCTCCATTGCGCCAGCACATTTGCCCAGCACCTGTAGGCATATGTCCTTGCACCTCCCTCGAGGAACCCACTAAGGTTGGGGCTGGCATACTCTGGAAGTAGTACCCCTCCATACGTCACCTCGCTGCTGTCCGCCCCCGAGTGCAACCAGGCAGTGGTCTGACTGCGGGGCGATCAAGGTGGCGACCATCCGTGGTTTGCTCTGTGACGAACTCCTTGATGATCTCGCGGGCCTTAACGACGCCCTCAGTCCCAGGTTGCCGCACGCGTTGAGACCCAGCTGTTCTTGGTGCCGTGGCCCGTTCCTCCTTGTCTTCGTCACGCCGACGGTTGTTACCTTGATGGAACGCTTTCTTTGCCGCCTTAGAGTCCGAGACTCTATCCAGCCTGTGAAGCATATTTGCAAGCTCATCCCCGTCCAACTTCATGCCGGTGGGAAGTGTTGTGGTCTCGGCAGCGCTCGCCTCCTGGACATCCCGCTGCCAGAGTGCGCAGCTCGTCCTCAAGCTTGGTGCAGTCCCACACGTGGTCCCGCAGGGACTTCTCCGCCGCAATGACCGGTGCAGTCGCTTTCTTCAGCTTGGCTCGTGTTTGCCCAGCTCGCTCCCTCGGTTTCCTGGCTTGGTCGACCCTCCTCGGCAAAGCCTGCGACTTGGGTGGCGGAGACTTCCTGTCGTAGACCTGCTTCCGCTTCTCGTCGATCTGAGTCTTCACCAGCTCGACCTGTTCCTTCGCCCACGGCGCAGAAAGCGCCGAGAGCCACCTGAGGTGTTTCTCCAACGCCTGGATCTCCTCTCTGAGGCCATCATCTTCGTTGAGTATTTCTTCCAGTGGCTCACCTCCCAGATTGATCTGTTTGTTCTCTTCCTCCAACTTGTGCAGCGTCTTGGACAGATGGTGTAGCTCACTGTTCAGTTAATCGGAGCTTGGAACCCTCGCATGCTTGGACGGCTGGTTGAGCGGTCGGTCGAATTTTAAGGCAGCGTTCTTATGGATGTGGCAGTTGCAGCGGCGCTCGGTCGAACCCCAGTTGATGAGAGGAGCCCCAGTACCAAGGAAACTACAACTCGTGTTTATTCAAGTTCGCTTCTTTGCAGAACATGGCGACTTGGGCACCATGGTTGCGTCTTCCTGGGTGTTGAGAGCGTCTGGCGAAGAAAGGAAGCATGGGGCGACCCATTCAACGTGCTGCTCCTCCAGGAGATCATTAAGAAAGAATTCCAGGCTGGAGCCAGTCTTGCATGCAACGCATTAGCGGCATCCGCTTTCTGTCCAGGGGACATTGCGGTCTTGAGCCAAAGTGTCTACGGACGATGGAATGCGGAGGAGGAGGAGGAGGAGGGGCAAGACAATGAAAAAGGGACCAGCAGGAGGAAGGGCGGCGGCAGCAGGAGGATGAGGAGGTGGAGGAGGAGAAGATCTTGCTCCGCCTCCTTTGCCTCTCTCTTCCTCCCTTTCCTCTCATTCCTCCGCATCCTCCGCAGGAAGATGCGGCTGAGGAGCAGGAAGAGAGAGAGAGAGAGAGGGGAGGAGCAGGAGAGGGGGCGTCAGCAGTAGGGCCCTTGGGCCCTCGGGGGACCGGCCGGATATGCATGCGGGAGCGGTGTTGCTGATTCCATGGTGGAGTCCGTCGCACCGACGACGATCTCTCGGTCGAAGCCGATGGGTGCCGCGGGGATGGAGGCACCGAAGGACAATCGCGCCTGAGCCCCAAAGCGCGAAGCACCACAGCAAGTCCACCCGCGCGCGTTCACCACGCCATCTTCGCCAACCCTGGCATCACCAACCGCAGTGTCAGGCCACCCGGCAGGGGCGAACAATTTGTGATTAGTGGGCTGACCCCCTTCTCCCCGAATTTCAGAGTTGGCACGCGCGGGGAAGACTGCGATCGAAGTTCAGCTTACTAAAGTCACTGAAAGTCTTGATCAGTTGAGGGGGCATTTGACAGATGAGCGTCGGAAGCAAACGGAGTCGTCTTCGCCGACATTGCCCTCGTTTCCAAGGCAGCGCGCCTTGCTAGCAGCCCGCGTCCCGCGTAAGCTACGCCGTAATGTCGGTATGTCAAAATTCGGGCCATACGAAAGGGGGGAATGGGAACGGGGGGGTTACGAAATCTGCTGCATGCAGCTGGTTTCAGCCCCACCGAGGAGCCCATTCCTCGATACGTGTTCGCCTCCCGGCGCCGGGAGGCGCTGGGAAAATCAGCAACGTGAGCTGATTCTCACCCCCCCCCTTTGCTATCCCCCCCTTTAGCCCGGCCCAAAAAATGCGTAAGACCCGCTCTTTTTCGTCGCTGAGATGCCAGACCCAGCCACACTTCTGCCCCTGTTACGAGGACGTCTGCGACCGCCACGGCCGGCACGCAAGACTATGCGCGGGAGCCGGGGATCGCGTCCACCGGCACAACGGGGCAAGGAACGTGGTCGGCATCTTTGCCACCAGCGCGGGCTTCAACCCGACGCTCGAACAGCCTGCTCGAACAGCCTGGCCTCCTACCGCCCCGCCCAGACGACGTCCAGGTGAACGGGCGCCGGCCTGGGTCCAGGTGGCGCCTGCTGCCTTCGACCTCGCGGTGTCTTCGCCGCACAGGAAGGCCGCCCGTGTCGTGGCGTTCCAAGAGGTGGGGCGCGCTGCGCACCTCCACGCAGAGCGGCAGTGCCAGCAGCAGGGGATCGTGTTCATCCCCCTCGTGGCGGAGCCCTCTGGAGGATGGAGCCCGACTGGCGCCGACACCGTGCGCCGGCTAGCCTGGGCCAGTGATCGGAGACGAGGCGACGAGTTGGGGACGGCGCGGCACGTTTGTTCCAGCGCTTGTCCGTGGCGATCCACCAGGCGACGGCACGAGCAGTCCTGAGGAGTCACGCGGAGCTCCCCTCGGCTACCGGAGCTACGACTGCCGCGCGAGGCTTGCTGACGCTTGGCGCGTCCCGCCGTCGCTCATTTTTCCGCCCCTTTCCTCGCCTCATCTTCCACCCGCCCGTGTTCGGGCAGCTAACTGGTATTTTGATACGTTTGGGGCATTTATGCGGATGACGATCCCTTGTGCTGTCGTCTTCTTCGTTCGTCGTCGTTTTCGTCGTCCGTCGTTCGTCTCTTCCGCTCCTCTCGCCTCTCCCGATCCTTCTCCGCCGCCGGCGTCTCCTCCTCCACCAGGCGGTTTTTCCTTGCAGCGGGTTGGTGAACGGTGCGTTCCCTGCTCCCGCTCGCGGAAGCTGGGGCGCGCGCCGATCGTTTTTCGTTGCTTTGCGCGGCCGTCTGTTAGCCCGCGCGCCCCTCGGGGCCTCTGCCGTCGTTGCTGTCTGACGGATCGACGTCCACGCATGCGCCGGCGCTGCTCTCCACGCGTGCGGCCCAGCAGGCAGCCTCGTCTCGCAGGCGACAGTAGGACCCCCCGCGAGAGCTTGACTTGACCCATCCGAGGTATTTGCCTGATCCCGACGATGACGAAACGGTGACGAGAATGGTTTTTGGATAACGGGGCGGGGGGGGCATTCTTACAGATGAATGTGGCACGAATTGTTTTTGTTCTTTTCTGCATGTCGCTCCCCCTGTTGGGGTCGGCCTGCCGCGGCTGCTCCCCCCGCGCGCGAGGCCACCACCAGCGGCCCGAGGGGCGTGTTCGGCCGCCTCCTCGGCGGCAGCAGCAAGGCCGCCAAGGCGCTGGCCCGACCAGCGCCGCCACAGCAGCCGGCGGGGCGGGGTGGCGTGCCTTGCTCCTCTTCCTCTTCCTCCTCCTCTTCCTCCTCCTGCTCGTTCCTCCCATTCCTCCTTTCCTTTACTTTCCTGCAACAGCCCATTCCATTTCCTCCTCCTCCTGCTCCTCCTCCTGTTCCTCCTCCTCCTCCTCCTCCTTCTCCTCTTCCTCCTCCTCCTCTTCCTCCTCCGTTTGTTCCTCCTCCTCCTCCTCCTCCTCATCGTCGTCCTCCTCCTCCTCCTCCACCTCCCCGAATGGCCAGGGATAAACAATGGGGGCGCCATTGGGTTGGAGGTCCAGAGTGATATTTTGTTCGATGGATGTTGTTGTAAGCATGTGGTTCCCGTCTCTCCAGGGGGGGTGGGGGCTCGTTGGTTATAGCTAGCGTTGGGCTGGGTCATTCTGGCAAACATGACCGGGGCCACCGGGGTGAAAAATCTCCAAAAAATCTCCGGGGGAATCTCCAACCGGTGATTCGGTGTCCCAAAGATCTCCAAAAAATCTCCGGCCTTTTAAATCTTCCCCAGAATCTCCGGAAAATCTCCCCGCTAGAAGAAATCTCTGAAAAATCTCCGGAAAATCTCGGAACTCAAGAACTAGCATTGGCAATCTCTGGAAAATCTCCAGAAAATCCCCGGGAAATCTCCGGCCGCATTTGTGTGTAATGTGTACGTATATATACATATACATATATATATATACATATATATATATACTTATATATATATATATATTTATGTTAATATGTTAATATGTTACTGCACGCAGTACTTCACATGCAACGGAGCGTATGGAACATATGCGTATGATGTGAACATTTCAATGTTTTCATAAATATATGTAAGAGTGTATATGCCACCGCGTGTGTCAGTATGTGTAAAGGCATGCTTCTACACATACTAGCGCGTATACTGTTCACATGCGCCTGTACATGTGAATGAACACACCAGTTTGCACACCCGCGCGTCAATGTATGTACACCTGTGAGCACCGTCATGCACGCTTGGTTTATCACGGTTATATGTATGTGTCTTTGGGATTCAACTACAGACGCGGCGTGCGCGTGCATATTAATGAGTACGTGTGCACGCGGCTTATATATGCGCGCTGGCATGATATAGTGAACACATGATCGTTGGATTTTAAGGGCATGTGTATATATACACATACACGAGTGCTCAGTGCAAGGCATCGCCGAACCCAAGGTCCGAACCTGAACCAGGGTCCCAAGGGCTCGACTTCACACCCAGCAGATGCACGCACGGCGCGGCGGGGGGCTCCATCCCCCCGTGCCCAGTGCTGGCGGAGGGGGCGTATGTTCCTTGCGTCCCTGGGGCCCTCATGCGTTTCACGCGCAAACTGGGCGCTTGCCAGTGGCTGGAGTTGCCGCCCCTCTTGGCCGGCACGTTCCTTCGTGATTGGGGGTGGTGTTTGCGAGGCCAACGCCATCTTGGTAGCCATTGCGCGACATGTTTTTTTGCCGGGCAGCCTTCCTGTTGTTGTGCATTTGAGTTTGCTTGAAGCACCTTGCGCGGTCCTTGACGTTCGTCCGTTTCCCGTTGGTTGCATTTGCCAACATGGGCGCGTGTGGGGTCGAGTGGGCAGTCTTCGCCGCTCTCTGCCGCAGCCCTCCGCGTCGTCCTTCAACCTTGCACACTGGCGCGGCGATACCTTCTGCGGGCAGGATTCCACGCGCTGCACTGCTGCTAGGGCTAGGGCGCGAGGGGAGACACAAATCTGATTCCTTCCAGGACTATTGGCATTCTCGCTCCTACTTTTACTTCCGCTCTCATTCGCTTCCTTCTCTTTCGCCTCCCATTCCGCCTTATCGTCCCTGGCATCCTTATCCTCATCCAGCTCTCGTTGCTGTCTTTCCCTCGTCGCGATCAACGGGGCCCGCAGACAAATGCAGTGGCGGGGGGAGCTTGGACCTTTCTGTTTTTTCAGGACGTCGGTCGCGGTGCCAGCGTCGGATGTCCAGGCCGGGGGGGCCAGACACCAGGCCGCCTGGCTGCGTGGATGCAGCGACGTTCCGGCCCTTTCTGGGCGGATGCAGGCCGCCCGCAGGGTTTCGAAGACAATCGCGATTCGCACTTCTGGGTCTACGGGCGGCACGGGGGAGCGAAGATCACTGCACCTTTCGCAGGGCGAGGCGTGAAGTCTGGTGACATGCGTGGCCTTCCTCGTCATCGTCCTCCTCGCCCCTCCCAGCTAGGCCGTGTTCTCTCCCTCTTTGTTTTTTTCCCGGAGTCGCGCTGGGCGATGAATCGCCCGGTTAGGGTGCGTCTGGTAGCCTGGCCCCCACTGTTGGCCCCGCGATCGGGGTGGGGCCGCCGTGCAGGCGGACGGACAGGCGGCCATGCAGTCTGCCGCAGCGAAGCCATACATGGGCCATACATGAGGAGGAGCACAACGAGGAAGAGGAGGAGGAGGAGGAGGAGGAGGAGGAGGAGGAGGAGGAGGTCGATGTCGATGATGAGGAGGACGAGAGGGGGGTGACGTTGGCTGCCCGTCTCGAGACTTCCCCGGCGGCTTTCCCCGAATCCCCGATTGAATGCGCTCCAGAAGAGGCCCGGGGGCGATGTTTTGACACCCCGCACATGTTTCGTGGCCCCATAGGAAGCTCCGCCGAAGGCCCCAGTGCTGCCGCCCGCATGCGTCACGCACACCCAATTCGGCACACCCCTCACACGTTTCGTGGCCCCATAGGGGGCTCCGCCGAAGGCCCCAGTGCTGCCGCCCGCATGCGTCACGCACGCCCAATTCGGCACACCCCGCACACGTTTCGTGGCCCCATAGGGGGCTCCGCTGAAGGCCCCAGTGCTGCCGCCCGCATGCGTCACGCACACCCAATTCGGCACACCCCTCACACGCTTCGTGGCCCCATAGGGAGCTCCGCCGAAGGCCCCAGCGCTGCCGCCCGCATGCGTCACGCACGCCCAATTCGGCACACCCCTCACACGTTTCGTGGCCCCATAGGGGGCTCCGCCGAAGGCCCCAGTGCCCGCTCGCATGCGTCACGCACACCCAATTCGGCACACCCCTCACACGCTTCGTGGCCCCATAGGGAGCTCCGCCGAAGGCCTCAGTGCTGCCGCCCGCATGCGTCACGCACACCCAATTCGGCACACCCCTCACACGTTTTCGTGGCCCCATAGGGAGCTCCGCCGAAGGCCCCAGCGCTGCCGCCCGCATGCGTCACGCACACCCAATTCGGCACACCCCTACACGTGTTGCCGCCCGCATGCGTCACGCACACCCAATAGTTTCGTGGCCCCATAGGAGCTCCGCCGAAGGCCCCAGGGCTGCCGCCCACATGCGTCACGCACACCCAATTCGGCACACCCCTCACACGCTTCGTGGCCCCATAGGGAGCTCCGCCGAAGGCCCCAGCGCTGCCGCCCGCATGCGTCACGCACACCCAATTCGGCACACCCCTCACACGTTTCGTGGCCCCATAGGGAGCTCCGCCGAAGGCCCCAGCGCTGCCGCCCGCATGCGTCACGCACACCCAATTCGGCACACCCCTCACACGTTTCGTGGCCCCATAGGGAGCTCCGCCGAAGGCCTCAGCGCTGCCGCCCGCATGCGTCCCGCACACCCATTTCGGCACACCCCTCACACGCTTTGTGGCCCCATAGGGAGCTCCACCGAGGGCCCCAGCGGCCGCGCTCACATGCGTCCCCTCCACCCATCCCGGCACGCTCCTCACAACAACAGGTTTCGTGGCCCCATAGGGAGCTCCACCGAAGGCCCCAGTGGCACCGCCCGCATGCGTCACCACCCGCACCTAATTCGGCACACCCCTCACACGTTTCGTGGCCTCGTAGGGAGCTGCACCGGAGGCCCCAGTGGCGGCGCTCACAGTAAACCCCTCGCGCGCTTCGTGGCTCCATAGGGAGCTCCACCGAAGGCCCCAGTAGCGGCGCTTACATTCGTCTCCGCCACCCATCCCGGCACCCCCCCCGCAGCAGCATCATGTTTTGGGGACCCATAGGGAGCTCCCTTGGAGGCCCCAGTGGCGGCCCTCACATGCGTTTCCGCCACCCATGTCGGCACGCCCCGCGCGTGTTTCATGTCCCCATAGGGAGCTTCACCGAATGCCCCAGTGGCACCCATCTCGGCACACCCCTCACACGCTCCGTGGTCCTATGGGGAGTTCCTTTGAAGATGAAGCCCGCAGCTGCGGTACTGACAACTGCATATGGTTGGGTTCTTCGCGAGGCTAATTTTTGAGTGAGATTTTTGGTGCTACCGCGATTTCCGGCAGATTTCCTGGAGATTTCCGGAGGATTTCTGGGAGGTTCGGCTTCGCCGCAGGATCTCGGGCGCTGTCGGGTGGTAAGCCCCCGGGGATTTTCAGCACATTCGCTCGGGGAGTTCAGGTTTTTTTTACCCCCCCAAGCTTTCCGGGAAATGTCCGGAAGATTTCCTGGAGATTTCCGGAAGATTTCCGGAAGATTTCCGTGAGATTTTGTGTTGCCGGGAGATTTCCGGAAGATTTCCGGAAGATTTTGGGTTGCCGGGAGATTTCCGGAAGATTTCCGGGAGATTTTGTGTTGCCGGGAGATTTCCGGAAGATTTCCGGAAGATTTTTTGGAGATTTCTGCCGCCCCCGCGATTTCCGGAAGATTTCCTTGAGATTTCCGGGAGATTTGCGGGAGAGGTCGCTTGCGCGGCCCCTCCTCCGGACGACTCTCTGGAGATTTATTTGCAGGTCTGTGGAGTGGGCGGATTCCCAGTGCCCCCACATCTCCGCGGGCGGCCCGCATGTTGCCCTTCGCAGGCTCCCTTCCAGCGTGCCCCCGATATTCATTGCTCCGCCGTGTTCCCCGGTGGTTCCCCCCCCCGGAGCTTGCCCTCCGGGGGGGTCCATCGGTCGATCCCCGTGGGCCCCCCCCGAGCCCCCCATGGATGGCCGTGAGGGTGGCCCCCTTGGGAGTCTTCCCCATGTGCGATGCTCCCCATGGGTTGCCATAATAGGCTGCCCCCGCGG